CCAACATTTGAATGAGGAATAACTGTTTTTTTGTGAGCGTGTGAAGTGTGTTGACACGATTAGGGTTGAAAATGTCATGCTACTGGTAAAGCAGTACTATCAATGGGGTGCTTTATGTAATGTACACTTTGTGTTATACTTTACTGTTCTTCACATTGGTTTCCATGGACATAAGAAGTGTTGATCAGTATTGCTCACACTGCTAGGAACTAAGCATTAGCATGTAGCACTATCAAAAACACCGTAGAGGTCCTTCGCCATTCATGGTATAAGAAAATGTTACAATATGGGAAAAACATTCATTCACTTTATTACAGAAACTACGAGAGATAGAGAAATTAAATACATCAAATAAGAATATACTTTTCTCACAAACTAAATTGCTACATAAGATAAACAAAACATTTTTTTGTGGTGAAGTGGAGGATAAGTAAAACAATCTTACATTCTGAGATGTATTTGTATTTTTATTTATTTATAGAAGGACCATGCATACAAAAACATTAATCTCAGCAAAGAGAAGAGATGCAATATGCCAGATTATAGCTAATAGCTAATTTCCATCTGTGGTCCATGATGGAAAGCTGCTCTGTAGTTTGGTAGTGCATAGCGGATACTTTTTTTTAATCTCTTGTCAGATATGAAAAGGGTAAACAGGCGGTGGATTTGCTTTGGGTTTTGCAGGCACCTCTTCTCACCAATGTGATGCTAAGTGAATGGGTCCAATGGTATTCTGCAAAGTCTTCATTTCCTGCTGTAGAGCCCTTCTGTCCTTGGCCGTATCCGTCCCATGCCAGTTTGTTATGTTTCCAGAATGCCCGCTATTGCTTCTCTGTAAAAGTCAACAAGAACTTGGAGGAATTATGCCATGTTATGTTTCCTTAAGAAATACAGCCTGTTTTTACCAGGATGGAGATGTTCTCTTCATTTTGGGGGTTACAGTCTTAGGTATGTTAAGGAAATAGGAGAGGTCTGAGCATACAGCCCTGGGGGACTCCGGAGTTTGTCACTAAAGTGGAAGAGGTGTGACCGACCATCCAAACTGCCTCAAGTCTGTTTGTGAAGAAGTCCAATATCCGTTGCAGAGTGTAGTACTCAAAACTCAGAGTGTTAAGTTTGCCAATCAGTTTAATGTGTGGGCTTTTGTTGCTGACCTGAAATCAACAAACAGCATTCTGACATAGGTGTTGTTATTTTTCAGATGATGGGCAGCTGAGACAGCATTCTCTGTTGTCTCTGTTTGCAAACTGGGGAGTATCCAGGTTGTCTAGGATGTTGTTTCTGATGCGTTGGTAAACCATGGATAGTCAAATAGGGCAGTGAGTGCACTTAAGGCTGAGGAGGAAGTAGGCAACGCAAACAACCAAATAAGGAACTCACAATTACCATTCACAAAAACCAGTGGGAGTAAAAGGCAATAAGGCACGTGTGTGTGTGCCGACAGAGAGCCTGCAGCCTTGAGTTCACTAGGTTAGCATGTGAGGTCCAGACGGGAAGGGATTCAGTGCAATGACCTTGTATCTGTGTGTCTGTTCTGCACGTTGGGCCATTGAAATGGGGATGAGCATGCTGGTTATCTGTTGTATTACTCATTAACCAGAAGAGTCTCCCAAAACAGCTCTGGAAAAACATCAACCCAAATACATTTCCCAAAAGCATTGGCATCATGTGTTTTCATCCAAAACAGCAGTCCAGGTTTTCTTTCCCCTGGAGTTGAAAAGTAATTCCCTTATCGTCCCCTGTTGCATATTTTTGATTAAAAAATGCTGTTTTTATTTCAAATGAAGAGTGTAAAAATATCATCTTTGGTCGTTCCAGTGGACGTGTTGTCTGTCAGCCACGAGAATTTGTCTCAGAAAGAAAATATGGATCAGCTCCAAACTGAGTAACAACCCCCACCATGCCACTCACTCACTTCCGCTGCTCAGCTCTCCCTGCCTCTATCCTTCACCCTCTTTCTCTCTGTTCCCTTTTTCTCTTTCTGCTGTCTGTGTCCTTAAAGCCTCTCTCATCCCTCATATATTCACACACACACATTTGTTTATCCTTCATACCTCTCTCTCTCTCTGCTTGTATCGACACACTGGCACAGACACATGACAAACGACACAACCTCATTCATGAAAATGTTGCGGCACTCAGTCAAAGCTTAACCACTGGATTATGGGATTAGAGAGTGGGGTTGATCTGGAACATACACACATGCATTACACACCCACACACACCCTCACACACACACAAACACAAACACTTGGTAAAGTGTGTGTTGTTTTCTATGGTGTGTTGGTGTGGTTTAATTCTCCTGTCTTGACAACTTCATTTGTTCTCAGGTTTTCCCTACTATACTGTAGCAATAGCAGTTCCCAGTACTACGCATCAATCACCATTTATATTGTATATACTGTTTAAATATATCATACATTTGAACCACAGCTATATTACAAACTACAAATGTAAAGCCCATTAAAATAAATGGTTTGACAGTTTAAAGTTACTGGCTCTCTTGCGAATGAGAATGATATAATTCTTGTGTGTCAGGATATCTTGGCCTTTATTTTCTGTTGCTTTCCTGCACAAACTACACATTCTTCTGTGTTGCATGTTTTTGTTAAGTACTTAACACGTAGCATGATTATGTTCTACCCTAAAGCCCTTATAATCTTTTCTAACAATAATGTTCCCTATTTATATGTTTGCTTAGCTGTTTTGGAGAACACTGTAACACCTGTCTAGGGACTAAAAATGGGAAATGCTACCGCATTTACAAGAAAAACTTTGCAATCACGTAATACACACTGGGCCTGTAAAAGAGAAACAAAAATAAAAAACATAATATAGAAACAGGAGAGAAAAAGACGCGGGATTAGAGGGCAGAACATTGAGTAAACAAGGAATATGAGAGATACTTATCAACACTGATGTGTGCAAAGCTCATACACCGATACCCTCTCTCTCCCACTATATTGATGGATGACGGCAATGGCAGGCGAGGGATGTTAAGGGGGGAATGGATTGACAAGATGAAGCGGAGGGAGGGAGGGAGGGATGAAATCCGTACAGAGTCTGTTTCCAGCCAATCGCCCTGTAGCCCCCTGCCTGATGTCTCCACCCTCCCACACCTCTCCCTTGTTGCTACGGTAGCAGCACCATCCCGCCAGTGAGAGGCATTATTTAGGGTTGGTTGTAATGTGGCGTGTTGTCTGTGTGTGTTTATATGGGACACTAAAGACTGCAATCAAGCTCAAGCTTTTTCTTACTCTACCACCCCCCCCCCCCCCTTCTCCGTCCCTCGTCCATCTCTCTCATCATCATCCTCCATTTCTTTCTCCTCTTCATCCCTGTTTTGACTGTCGCTGTCTCTTTTTCCACCTTCCATCCCACCTCTCTATCTTAAAGTACTCGCATAATGTTGCCACGTAGCAAACTACATGCACAAATTAAGGACATGGTATACATAATTTTACGCATTGAGTGACTCTTTTCACTTTCAATTCATGTTTTGGATCAACATACTCCATTGCAAGTAATTCCAAGTTAATGTAGTTACATTTCATACAGTTTCATATATTACAAAAGACTTCTTTCATTTTCTGTTAAATGCCTAAATACTGTTTTTCTGTTGTGTTCTTATATCCAAGCAACATTTCCTCTTTTGGGGTTTTGCTTTCTGTGGAGTCTAGACAGTCTCTTTTTTTGTCAGACAGGAAAAATGACATTTAAAAATGTCAGCAGTTTCTGATACCGATCATCAGCTATCAGGTGTCACTTCACATTTACTGTCAGAACATACTTGTATTATATCAGTTACATCTTGTCGGCTTATCCAATAATAATGAAGAGTTGAGTATTCCAGAGGAAAGACATATATTTGTTCCCACATACACCCATTCATAATAAATCCATCTATTTAGGAAATGCTACAGTATTATGATGATCAGATTATTTCTCTTTCGGCTTGAGTGTCTGCATTTTTGGAGCCAGTCTCTTTGTGTCAGGGTGTCTGCGTTTTTCCTCTCATTTGCTGCTGTGCTGCTCTTTTTTCTCTCGTAACCATGGAAATGGGATCAACATGCAAATACCTGAGCACGCTCACCAAGGCTGTGTGATAGGAGATGCAAATTGTGTTTCCGTTTGTAGGATCACACACCCTCAAACACACAGATGCACACTCAGACAGTCACACACAAACGTTCTTGTGAGCACGTATGCACACCCTAATGTGGTCCAGATCATGTTTCAGCTTACCACGACCAGACAATATCAATATAATAGTGCAGTAGTTGCACTGAACCTTAAATGGAAATAATATTAAAATAATAAGTGTAATTTACAATTGAATTCTGATTACAATTTTATTTTTCAATGATAAGTTAAAGTATAAAAATGAAAAAGGGATATCTTAAAGCTGCACTCATTTATCTATGACCACTAGGGGCAAGGTGACAGAAATTGTACTAGACAGCTAATGCCTTCTTATAAAGTTGCTGCAAATGTTAGCGTCTTTTCACAGCTATAGTGGACAAATATTTATTTTAATTTTTTTCTGGGCTGTTTTAGAAAAGCTACATAAATAAAGTGTATTAATATATTATACAAGCACAGACACTTTTCACATTAATTTGATTCATTATGTGGAGATTGTAATTATGCACGTTTAAAGACTTGCATTTAGGCCAAAAGAGTAAATATTATTAATATATAATTCAATTTATTTCGTTTTTTTGTTATTGAAGACTTTGAATGTAAAATCCCTTGTCTTGTACGTTGTACCCTTTTATTCAATCATCAGAAACTAGTATTCCAATGTGGCCATGAGCTGGTTAAAACATGGCGATTGTTGCCAACTTCACTGTTCCCCCCATGGAGTCTAATCACCTTCCCCATCGCCTCTCGTTTCATTGATGTATGTCTGTTTTTTTATTTTATGAATGAACGGCAGAGGAGAAAAGGGGACGGGAAACTGGACCCTTTTTGATTGGCTGCTAGGGGTTGACGTCACTTCCGCTCCAACGCGATGCACCCATTCACAGGGAAAAAGAGAAACAATGCACACCCGGAGAGAGAGAGAGGGAGAAAGAAAGTGCTGCGGACTGAGAGCGAGGAGTAGTGCGTTTACAATGCGTGAATAGAGTCAACCAAACGCAGGAACTGAATTTCGGAGGGTGGTGCGGGCACACTGTGCGAGAACCAAACCGAGGAGATAACCGACAGTGAAGCCTACCTACGCAGCTCAAAATACGACGTGCTATGGGGGACCTACGCGAGATGGACTGCCCGGTGGTGAAGCGGTTATTAAAGGACGACAGTGCCAAGTGCCTGCTGCTGGACTGCCGCTCTTTCCTCGCCTTCAACGCGGGACACATCCGCGGAGCCGTCAACGCCCGCTGTAACACTATCGTCCGCCGCAGGGCCAAGGGCTCCGTGCTCAGCCTGGACCAGATACTGGCCGGGGACGAGGAGGTCCGTGAACGCCTCCGCTCCGGGATGTACTCCGCCGTGGTGCTGTACGACGAGAGGACGTCGGACTCGGAGACGGTGAAGGAGGACAGCACGCTGACTCTGGTGCTCAACGCGGTGTGCAGCGACTCCTCCGGAACACTCATATACCTGCTGAAAGGTAAATACAGTGCTTTGTTATTGAACGTTGGGTCAGGTGCATCATGTTATTATTATTATAAGCTACGCTTGACAATAACACCAGTATATAAGGATTCTGCCTTCATTTATTATTTGATTTAATCCTAATGTAGGACAATAAAGATATGCAAAATGTATAATAGTAGATTTGTTATATTAATGATTAAAACATGCTTTATTCAGCCTTTAAATTAGGCAATAACAAACTAAACAATGACTATATATGTATGGTTTTGTTATCTTTGTTAATTTTGTTTTTGTAATAATATATCCATATTCAAATGGAGCTTATTTTTGAAAATAATTCTCTGTGTTAGTAAACAAAAACATTTTAAAATTGATAAAAAATGACACGTTAATGATAATGTTCTTTTTGAGTCTTTACAATAGTAATTATAGCTATACATTGGATCAAAAGTTGAATTTTAATATGCCACCATCCTATCTGGGTCATTGTTTATTTAGTTTTTCACAGGCATTCAATATTATTTTTTATTGCCTTCATAAAGGCTGAGTATGTGTTTTTGTAGCTGCTTTATTAACAAAAGATTGACATGTCCTCCTAAATGGGCCTACTCTATTTGTATGCACTGGTGTTATTATTTTTCTACAATACACACTCACTCAGTCACTCACAGCTGAACACATTCACACACAGACCAATGGCCTGAGCTGAGTGAATGAGGTAATGCCAATGCGTAGAGGCCACATCAAACCGGAGGGACTTACAGGGCACATGATCCTTTCAGAAACAGTGCCCTTCAGGGTAGAAATAGAAGATAAAAAGCTGTAAAATACAAATAAATCACCGCTTTATTTACCCACCAACCTAGCTATATTTAGGCTGCAGGGATTCTGAAAAGGCAAAGCTGCTGCAAGCTGTGGCGCACTCTTTTTGTATGTGTGTATCCTAATGACGTAGTCGCCTTGAAGCACAGGAGAGTCTGTGTGTAGCTTTATAAAGATGACATTTCCCAGTTCATCTGATGTGATCCCTGAGGTGCACAGAGCAGCCTACAGATGCAAAAAAAAGAAAAAAGGGATGACGACATTGTTTTCAAATCCACGGTAGTAACCACAAGAGAGAGTAGTTCAGGGCCTGGTGGAATAGACCTTATGTATGTATGATTGTGCAGCAATTGTAATGTAGGCTGCCATGCTTTTGTAGTCCTTATGCATACTGCTGTAGAGTTTTAAGCATATAAACTCCCCTCCCTCCCACCCACACATACAAAAATCACTGTTCCAGGAGGATCTTACATTTCCAAGTAGTGATTATATCTCACTCGGATTGTGTCTAATGTGATATGTAGGATGAATGGTACTTAATCAGGATGTCTCTTTTCTAGGTGGATACGACAAGTTTTTCTCAGAGTACCCGGAGTTTTGTATAAAGACCAAATCCTTACCGCCCCTCACCAGCCAGTCCAGCGTCGACTCTTCCTGCTCGTCTTGTGGGACGCCGCACCACGACCAGGTAAAAACAACACATGATCAGCCCTTAAGGGACTGTTTAAGTAATATAGTTAACATTTACCAATGTCAGTGTAATGTCACTTCAGTCAACTCATTGTTACAGCCTGTAAAAGTCAAGTTTAGTTTGAATCATCGACACCATGATCTGCTGGCAGCAAACACTCAACGCTTTTTGGTTCGCAACATCACTTTTGTTCACTTTCCCATGTCCATTCAAGCACATTTCCTTATCCGGTCTGGATGGTGAAAGCAGTGACAGTGTAGTTACAAGCTTGTTTGTCAGTGTAAAGGCCATGCTAGGATAAAAGCAATGTAACCTCCTGGGAATATTTTCTTTTGTTTGAGTGAGTTATTTGTCTAATGATAGGCTACACTACAGGTCATAGGTCAGTATTGATTCACCTCTGCGTCACTTCCTGTGCCCCGGTCGGTCTCGTTTAGCTGCTTAGTGATCTGCTGTTTGGAGCCTGCATATTTGATGCAACGTTCACAGTCACATGAGGCTCGGGGGTTTAATTCCCCCCCGAAACGCATGAGGAGAGAGACGCAGACAATCCAGCCTCTGTGCGTTTTTCTGAGAAGAATGCTCGATAGTCTTGGCCGCACTATTCAGCATTAAAAGTAGCTTCCTGTTTTTCGGTATCTCACTCTCCATTTTCCTCCCAGCGTCCACCCCCCCCCCCCCTCTCTCTCCTCACATTACATCTCTTAGCAGTATTGATCACATCCTGATGCTGTGTCAGTACGAGGTCGTCAGCGGCAGTGACATAAACAGACAGAGCTTTCTGTCAATAAGTCTCACTACCGGTATAGACTGACAGCTGGCTGACCCCTCACATCCATTAAAAAGGGAAAACAAGACCACTACTCTTACATTGGAACATGCTTTGAAAGAATGGTTAAGTGGAAACCAGGTCATAATGTTTTTTTTTACCTTGAATGCTTTATGGTTCTGATTATGATAAGTCATATTCTTCTGCTCCGTGAGATGCTTCCTGTTTCTAGGAAATGTAACAAGCCACCGTGTGCTCAGTTGATGCTGTGTCATAAATCATTGAGTAAAACCAACGGAGCATCTCTTTCTTAGAATATTTCTTCCACCAGTAGAGTGTAATCACAGAAAAAGTACAAGGTGTCCTTATTGCAACATGACAGGATGTAAACCCCCATGAAACATCTGTTGTACTGATAAATTAAAACACAATCTTGGCTCATAATCACAGATATGTTTCCTTATTGAGAAAATGACTCAGCTTGAAACTGAACAGCCCTTATCAAATGACTGATTGATCAAACAGATACAAAGTTACCCCTGTCTGATTTAAGGTGTGGCAAATATGATTAGAAAGATATTTAGGAGAGATCCCACTTATACTGAAGTCATCTGAACTGAGACAGTGGATGCTTTGTCTCATCATGTAAGCTCTTTAAGTCGCGTCTGACTAACATGGCTCTTCGGGTTAGGTCAGAGGATGTTTCTTAATAAAAAGGACTCCATGAATGAGTACTGAGAATCTGTCTCTTCAACTGATTAATCATCCCTCTTCCATCTGTCCAGGGCGGCCCGGTGGAGATCCTCCCGTTCCTCTACCTCGGCAGCGCCCTCCACGCCTCAAAGAAAGAGGTTTTGGACGCCACAGGAATCTCCGCCCTGCTGAACGTGTCCGCCGACTGTCCCAACCACTTCGAGGGGGCGTACCAGTACAAATGTATTCCTGTGGAAGACAACCATAAAGAGGACATCAGCTGCTGGTTCCTGGAGGCTATTGAGTTCATAGGTCAGTGTGTGTGTGTGTGTGTGTGTGTGAATGCTGTAAATGTAAATACGATTCGAGGAGTCGAAAACACTGGATAAAGCGCTATATAAATACAGTCCATTTACCATCTTGTGTGTTAGAAAATATTTGTAATGTCAAATATATAATCCATAATAAGCCTATCCGTGTGTGTGTGTGTGTGTGTGTGTGTGTGTGTGTGTGTGTGTGTGTGTGTGTGTGTGTGTGTGTGTGTGTGTGTGTGTGTGTGTGTGTGTGTGTGTGTGTGTGTGTGTGTGTGTGTGTGTGTGTGTGTGTGTGTGTGTGTGTGTGTGTGTGTGTGTGTGTGTGTGTGTGTGTGTGTGTGTGTGTGTGTGTGTGTGTGTGTGTGTGTGTGTGTGTGTGTGTGTGTGTGTGTGTGTGTGTGTGTGTGTGTGTGTGTGTGTGTGTGTGTGTGTGTGTGTGTGTGTGTGTGTGTGTGTGTGTGTGTGTGTGTGTGTGTGTGTGTGTGTGTGTGTGTGTGTGTGTGTGTGTGTGTGTGTGTGTGTGTGTGTGTGTGTGTGTGTGTGTGTGTGTGTGTGTGTGTGTGTGTGTGTGAACAGCTGATTATTTACTTGACTATTAAACTGCAGAACATTTTGGAAAATGCACCTTGTAATGTCCTAGTCCCAAATACATCATACATGACTTTAATGTAAGACAAGGAGAAGCAGCTTATTCTAACATATCATGTTTTGCATTATCTTGAAATCCGAATTATAGATCATTAAAATACAATAATATTAATAATACAATATGGAAAATAACAGCTGAGATATTATTTTCTTTGCCTTTTCTGAGAGTCTGAGAATTTCTTTAGACAACATTTTTTACGAGTAGCCATGTATCCCACACATTAAAGCAGGTTTTGCAGAGAGAAAAAATACGCACCATAATCTAAGAATAGTTAAGTAGCAAAACAAAACGATGTAGTACAATCACAGAAAAGGTGTAAGGAAGGCATTTGAGAATGATAAAAACTATGATAAAATATTCCGATTTTTCAGTGTGTTTGCGTGTTATTACGGTTAGTGTGTGATTTGCGTTTGATTTGCATATCCATGCTGTGCCTCTACGTGGTGTACGTGGTTTCAGGGCTGAGTGTATGTCTGTTAGCGTGTACTCTGGTGAGTGTTTGTATGTGTGTGTGTGTGTGTGTACTGTAGGTGCTGGTATGCGTCATAGTTAGCTGCTGTGGGACTAGAGTCTGACTCATCCTCTGTTACCGGGTGAACAGACGCCGTGTTGAGTTACCTGAAAACTGACTGAAATATATAGATGGCTAAAAAGTAAAGCAAGACTCAAAACAAAATGGTGTGAGTTGGTTGTTATCAATCCGCTATCTGTGCATTAACAAAATCACCTATGGTTAAACTGGTGCATTTTATTTTAAAATGGCCGCATTGCGATCAGTAGTGGACACTTAGTTGAAATTAATCTGCATGCAAAAAAAAATATATACAACAAAATGTCAGTCTATTATCTTTTTTTACATTTCTAGCAGGCCACCATACATGTTCCATTACATGACCGTCCGGCTAATTGTTGAAACTGATTCTCTTGGGGAAATGTAGCTACTGTAAAGGATCTAATCAAACTACTTCCTAAATGTTGCTGCTCTCAGTAACAAAGTAATCACATGCGTCTAAACATACTGAAAGAGGCAGAGACAGAAATAGGACAGGGGAGGAAGTGTGAAAGAGGCTGATGACTCACATTTATCTGCACTTGCGTGTTTCAGATAAATGTGATTTGCTGCTTTCTCACTTTGAGGTTGGTTTGACTGAAAAGTGTAGAGGAGAAGAAATTAGAACTGCTTGAGGCAAAGCTGTACGTCTGTTGAGTTAAATATATGTGGTGGCTGTTAAAAAAAAAATGGCATTACGGGTAACAATTTGTTTGATGATGGAAAATCGTTTGGAAAAACCTTTCTTCGTCCGTTCAGAAAGCACAACAATATTTTCCGACAAATAACTAAAGATTAGGAGATAAACACGAGCAAGCACGAGGAAAGATTTGTAAATGAACTATGATATTCTCTTTTAAACTGAGATTTACATTTGAAGGTGTATTGGTGCCATAAGGCTATGATAAGAATATTTCACCTTAAAATGCATGAACTGCTATAAACATGTTGGAGCCCTTTAATTACATTTAACACATACCCTGGAAAAGTGTCAATATCCATGACTGAAATTGAGCTTGAATGTCATTTTTTTACAATTAAAGTCATCAGGGTACCTCATCTGGGAACCATGAATGTACAACATCTGATGCCAAAATAGAAAATTAGGATAAAGTGTGAGAATATTCTAAATCGTGAGGTTGACATTATTTGACTGGTAAATCTAGATGAAATAATAAGGACGTCCTCTGGTGAGCATGAACATCTGTACTAAATATATGGCAATCTATTAAATTGTGATATTTCTGTCTAAAGATATGTGTCAAACTGAATGATACAATAGAATACAGCTTTATTCATAAAACACAAATCTCCAGACCAAAGTGCTGTACAGTCAAATAAACAACAAAATAATTATTAGCTAGTAAAACTTCTGACCTATGACCCTCCTCTCTCCACAGATTCGGTACGGGACTCCAGTGGGCGGGTGCTGGTCCATTGTCAGGCGGGCATCTCCCGCTCCGCCACCATCTGCTTAGCCTACCTGATGAAGAGAAAGGGGGTGCGTCTGGACGAAGCCTTTGAGTTTGTGCGGCGGCGGCGCAGCATCATCTCTCCAAACTTCAGCTTCATGGGCCAGCTGCTGCAGTTCGAGTCGCAGCTCCTCGCCACCTCGTGTGCTGTCGAGGCTGCTGCCACGGCCAGCCCGCTGCTCGGACCCAAGTCCTCCACGGTCACCACGGTGACGTCGGCCACGCCCACCTCTCCGTTCATTTTTAACTTCCCTGTTTCCGTGGTGAACCCCGCCTACCTGCACCACGGCCCACTCACAACGTCCCCCGGATGCTGATGGTTAGCCAATCGCAGCCGTTACCCAATTAACTGACTCACAGACTGGGCTGCCATTGGCTGGAAGATCTGTCAGTCTTACTGACCGGTATGTACATGCTTCCAGGACAGGGAGGTGAGAAGCGTCACGGTGCCTGATTCAAAACTCGAAGACTGAAAAAATCTTTTTACAGAAACCAGCCAACGCTCCTTCCATTTTAACACAAGGTTTCTTCAAATAGACCAAAAATGAACTGTCTTTCAAATCTAAAGTGTCAGACTGACGTTAACAAAAGATACACACTTTGAAACTCAACAACATGCACTGACACAGAGGCATGAGCAGCAGCAAACACTCTCTCGCTCTGCCTCGCACACACACACACACACACACATTCATGACTACCAACTGAATAAGCTCAGTATGAAGACAGGGTCGGTTGCTATGGAGAGGACAGGTCTTTAGGAGAGGAGATGGACACAGGAAGGAAGGAGGGATTTGAAGCACCCGCTCTTTCCCCTTTGGGTGTCCCTCCTGTTGGCAGATGGATGGAAAAGAGAGGCGAGGAGACGGTGATAGAAAGCAGGAGCCTCTTCTGTGACAGGTGCTCCGACCGGGGCTTCCTGTCTTTCATACGTCCTCTTCCTCTCTCTGCCCCCCCCCCCCCTACACCTTCCTCTCCCCTCTCATCTCCCCTTTTCATCCTTTTATATTCCTTCCCTCCTCTCATCTCTGTCTCTCATCTTCACCCTGTCCGCCCCCTCTCCTCTGCTCCTCATCTCCTCACTGAAGAGGCTAAATAAATCAAATAAGATGCCAAATGAAGGCCAGGGCCCTGGTAAATGGACTGGGAAACCCCACTGAAGGGAACAGCTACTGCTACATTACTAAAACGTTGTTTTTTCGACGAAAGCACTGCAAGAGAAGCTGTAGGAGAAGGACAACTGCTAAAAAGCTTTTTTAGATCAGAGGGCAGAATTTGAAGCACAGTGGTTCTGCAAGACGACCACGTAAAGGACCATTCAGCTGGTTATGTATGATTTAACATCAATATTATTTTTCTTCGCTATGAACCATTTCCAAAGAAATACATTTTAAGGTTATTTTCTGCGAACACTAGCTCCAGTAGGATGCTTTGGAAAATGATATTCTTTTTGGTTATTGGCTGAAATGTGCATCACCCCCGAATGGTCCTTTACAGATGTTTGTGCCTTGTTCACAAAGGTTTCCTAAAGATGTTGGCGTGCTGCTAGAAAGCCGATTGCTGAATGTTGGTCAAACATAACAGACGTCAGCATTTCAGCGGTGCAGTACAGACTCTTATTCCACAATGTCTGAAGCTTCTCTCTTCATCTCTCACACTCACAGATGGATACAAACATAATGTATTTGAGTAATTCAATATTTGATATTATAATTCAACATTTGGAAAGGCCATTTTTCAGCCTGCCATAAAAAAGAATTAAAGTAGTGTTTTCCAAAGCTACAAAACAAACTTCCTTAACCATTAATAGACACCTTAACATAAACCGAAAATAATGAGAATTTGAACATGATGTCTAGAGAAAAAAAATACATTTGTCATGTGTGCTTCTACATCTTTTATATGAGAAAATGTGCAAAGAGGCAACATTTGTTCCTATCGGCCATATTTTCAAAGACAATGCTGAGCAAACATCAGGGACCCTATCCACTAGAGACTGATTGATTTCCCCTTTTAAATCCATACTGAAAAATGAAGCGTGATGAAGTAATAAAGAGATGATAGCTTTCGGTTTTTACGAAACGTTTTATAATCCAATACAAGTTATTATTTAGTTATTTAGATTCTCTGTTTTTGAAGATTGTCCACACATCTCCACTTTCTGGGCGTCAAAGCCAAACATCACGCCATTTTCATAATGTCACACTTTTAGACGTTGTTTGTATTGCTTCTGCTTTTGACCAGGCTAAGCTTTACACTCTGTGCTAGAAATCCAAAGGCACAGAACCATCATGGTTACACACACACACACACACACACACACAGGGTTTCAAATAAAATCTGTTTTTGAAGATTGTCGGCACCTATCTCTGTAGCACTTTGAAGTGATGCAATACTGTATTTATAATTTATGATTGATTTGCACATCATGGTGATGGTAAACTGAATAGACTTTGCATTTGATCCATGTAGGGAGGGAGACAGAGAGAGATGAGAGAGCCAATCAGTGGGAAACGCAATACTTTGTACACATCTGTGTGGTAATCGTCTATTTGTCTGTCTGTCAGCCTGTCTGCCTCTCTGCGTCACTCCGTCTCTCTGTCTGGTCAATGATGTTTACCCATCATGGCAATATCAATCCTCCACTTGGACATTTATATTTAAAAAAAAAAAATACAACTTTCCCTCAATTTTATTGTGGAATGAATTATCTGTACATTTATTTATTACTGAAGATCCACTGTTGAATAAAAAATGTTCTTAAGTAATAGGTTGTATGTGCTTTCTTGTTATGGTGGTGTTTGAAACTAATCAAATATATTGTATAAGCATACACACAATTTCATATAAGGCTAAATTGAAACTGTGAATTATATCATTTTGTTAAGACACACACCACGGGTTATTTAGATTTATAAGTTATTACACACAGAGGTATAAATGAACTACATGATGCAGATGTAACTATTCAGTTCGATATCCCTGCTTTAAATAATATGAAACAATAAATGCATTCAAACAGATTTTTGACATAACGTTTTTAATGGGAAAACAACAGACATATCGTGTAATATTTGTCTTTTATAATATCACCTCTTTGTATGTGTTAATTTTACGCTCATTTTTAAATGTAAGCAAAGACTGCCCCCCAGTGGTTTCAAACGGTAACATCCACAAAACATGAGCATAGCACTAACCAATCAGAAGGTAGCTCATTTAAATCGTCACGGTAGGAAATGCACAGGTGGATTCAATACAAATAATGATGGCTGCGTTCCAATTAGGGGATGTCCTGGTGTTGTGCATGCAAGCTCACTGGAGTTACTCACTGGGAGACTGAATGGAACACAGCCATCGTTAGCGTCATCAGTGTCCGTTGTGCTTTTCCTCCTAGACGAGGCAACATGTCTGTGAACAGCATGCTATAGTAACGTTAGTATAGTTGACTAAAGAAAATATGGTCTCTTGTTTATTCAGGGACTCAGGAGGAAGTGAAGGAGGCTGGAGAAAGGTAAAATAATATGAAATGAATGATAAAACATCAGCCGTTTAATATTATATTATAATGTTGAGGTTAAAGATTTTGTCCAAAAGTGAGGGGCCTTGATTGGTATTTTTTTTTAATTATTTGTAACAGTATGCCATGGTCCCCCTCATTTTTTTATATATATGGGGGGACCCTCATCAACACATTTACATTTTATATAAGGGGGGACCCTTATCAAAAAAGTGACATATGCATAAATATTCCTTTATTTGCTAAACCCTAACGGTGCGTCTACACAGCAGCGTTAAAAAAATCTTGAAACGCTTCTGCCCATTCACTTTGAATGGGGTGACGTCACTTTCCCTCACTTTTCGCCGAAATGCATTGTGGGCAGGCGAGCGGAGATTTTCAGGATTTTGAGGATTCAATGTTCAACTTTTGAGGCTGAGGTGGAAGCGTCAGCCAATCAAATCCCGTGTACGCAAATCTGACAGTTCAAGCTCTAGCCAATCAAACGGCGTGTATGCTGGGAGAGACATACCGCAGGTCATTTCCTCATATTCCAAAAAATGGAGGAGAAATTAGCGGTAGCGAATCAATCACCCGGTGCTTTATGACCAGACCTACCGGGATATAAACCGGAGGAGCCAGGCATGGAGGGAGGTGGCAGAGACAGTGGTAGGTTTTAGCCTGTTTTGGGGAGTTTATATCCAGTTTACTTCGGGCTTTTTTGCTTCGTATTTTTTTAACGCTGCTGTGTAGACGTACCGTAGCGTTAAAAAAATCTTGGAGGTGGGCGTATCTGAGGCTTGGGGATTTTTTGCGAACAACCAATCACATGAATCTCCCGCCCGCGACATACGAAGCAAAAAAGCCCGAAGTAAACTGGATATAAACTCCCCAAAACAGGCGAAAACATACCACTGTCTCTGCCACCTCCCTCCATGCCTGGCTCCTCCGGTTTATATCCCGGTAGGTAAATAGGGACTGGTCATAAAGCACCGGGTGATTCCCTACCGCTAATTTCTCCTCCATTTTTTGGAATATGAGGAAATGACCTGCGGTATGTCTCTCCCAGCATACACGCCGTTTGATTGGCTAGAGCTTGAACTGCCAGATTTGCGTACACGGGATTTGATTGGCTGACGCTTCCACCTCAGCCTCAAAAATTGAACATTGTTCAACTTTGAATCCTCAAAATCCTGAAAATCTCCGCTCGCCTGCCCAGAATGCATTTCGGCGAAAAGTGAGGGAAAGTGACGTCACCCCATTCAAAGTGAATGGGCAGAAGCGTTTCAAGATTTTTTTAACGCTGCTGTGTAGACGCACCGTAACGGTGAGGCTGAGGTGGAAGCGTCAGCCAATCAAATCCTGTGTACGCAAATCTGACAGTTCAAGCTCTAGCCAATCAAACGGCGTGTATGCTGGGAGAGACATACCGCAGGTCATTTCCTCATATTCCAAAAAATGGAGGAGAAATTAGCGGTAGCGAATCAATCACCCGGTGCTTTATGACCAGACCTACCGGGATATAAACCGGAGGAGCCAGGCATGGAGGGAGGTGGCAGAGACAGTGGTAGGTTTTTGCCTGTTTTGGGGAGTTTATATCCAGTTTACTTCGGGCTTTTTTGCTTCGTATGTCGCGGGCGGGAGATTCATGTGATTGGTTGTTCGTGCCTTGCTCGCAAAAAATCCTCAAGCTTCAGATACGCCCACCTCCAAGATTTTTTTAACGCTGCTGTGTAGACGTACCGTAGGCGTTTCACAAAAATTCAGTCAAGATTTTATTTCCTACACACAAAACTAAGATAGTTATGGAAAATATATGATGTGAAGTTAATGCTTAATATTTGCTCCATCATAGTGTCATAGTGTGTACATGCCGGTTATCTTTGTTCATTTGCAGGTAGTAAATACACTTCACACCCTCACCTGTTGCCAATAAAATGTCATACAATAAGTACATAGTACAGTGTATCGAAACAACGACATAGTATAGCCTACTGTCCCAGAAAAGTCTCTAATATGCATATTCATTTCTAGTTACTATTATTTGATTTTTTTTCTGAGACTTTCAAAATACTATACATTAACTTTTTAAGACATATTATACAACAAATTGTTATTTTGACATACTATATCGGAATATAATGAAAAAAGGTCATTATTTATAATGTGTAAATAAGTTATTGTATAGTATACACAAAATAATTAGAAAAAACAATATAGTATAGTATGTCAAAAATATCGGAAATTACACAAAATAAAGTGTGTGGAAAATATCAGAAAAAACAACATAGAGTTTGTCAAACATATCAGAAAGAATTGTAGAAAGAGAATGATGGCATCTGATCCAGCCAGAATTGTTGACTTTTTTTTCATATAGGGGTTGCATTGTTTGGACCCTCACTGTAGCTTTCCAGTAGCTAGTTGACCGGGTTGTCCACCCAGGTTGTGATCCTTGAAGGTCCTAGATATCATTTCTGGTGGACAACCTTTTACAACATTCCATGTCTGATTTCCCAAAAAATGGGGTTTTGCCCCCTGGGTATCGTGTATTATGTCCAAAATATCAAAAAAGTCAATAAGTCATAGTTTAGGATGTTGACAAAAATATCTTAACAAAATATTAAGGTATGTAGTAAATATGAGGAAAATGACATACTATAGTAAATATGAGGAAAACCAACTTTAGTTTAGTATGTCTAAAAAATCACAAAAAATCACAAAGTATGGTTTGTCGAAAAATGTCATACAAAATATCATGGTATAGTATTTTTAAAAAGATCAGAAAAAACATAGTAAAGTATGTTTAAAAGATGCAACAAAAAAAAACACAGTATGTCAAAAATATATTAAAAAAATAAATAGAAAAATATGTTGAAAATATGCAAAACTGTCAGAAAAACTTTAAAAAATCATAAATATTATTGTAAGTGTTTTCTTTTTAATATTGGCACGACCAGACTTCCAAAGAATTCCACACACAATATATAATGATGCTTCATATTAAATATGTTCTGTTTGGTTAAGGGACAGTGTTTGTTCTTTGTGTTTGGATAACCAGTTTGATTCGTCTTTCCCAAAACCTTCTTAAATCACATGTCTGTCAGATTTTTCTGACCATCTTGATTTACGATCCATTACAGATCATTGTTCCGGTTGAAGAACTGCGATCCATTTCTGCTCTTTGATTGGGTGAGCTGCCTTAGGATTTTGTATTGGTTTATATGAACTATCTTGGTTTGCCAGATCTCTCGTGACTTAAGTTAAGTGTCAGCAACACCTAGAGAGATGGTTGTTCATAAATACTCTGCCTTAAACGAGATGAATCATAAAAGACTAGTTTGCCAGTTTCACGGTGCAGATGGAGTGTTTTTGTTTAAACTGTGTAAAGTGATCTTATCTCTGTGGTCGATTCGCAGGCTGTGTTGTGTGGTAAAGTTTAAAATGTATTGTGAAGTGTGTATTTTCTTGAATTGAGAACTAACAGTTAAGGATAACTAATGAACCCGATTACACAGAATTGACTTTAGTAAACATAAATAATACATCTATAGCTATTATTAAATCAAATGTGCATCATGTTTAGTGACCGTGGCTGCCAATCCAGAATGAAAGAAAGACTAAACACAGATATACACTTTGTTAAGTTCTTTTATTAAGATTTTCTTCTGTACAACAGTTAGAAGTGTATCCGTTACACATGTTAGCTGGTCAGCAGCTCTGTACAACCGTCTGTACAACAGGAAGTCAAACAGCACTGAAGAGGAAATGTGTTAATTAAACCGTTTGGTAGAAGGCAGGTCAGAAGAATAGGCATGGATTGATTGAACACACACGCTCGCTCGCACACACACACACACACCCCTCCAAAGTATTTACATCAAAAGGCTGACTGACCCTTGAGACCGAAGGAGACAAAGGCCAGCTCAAACACACGTCAAATAGTTATTACATAAAAAAAGTCTTTCAAAGGAAAAAGAACAATACATTTCAAATCATCTATAAAAGGCCCATCTGGAGTTAGTTTATGTACAGTCTCGTTTAAAACAAAGCCCACAGCTTTCTGCTAATAAATCCAAAGTGCTGCTGACCGTAATGAAGTCACACCGTAAACTCCAACAGTGACGCTTCCTGAAACCCTCGTCTTAGTGCTCTGATCAGGGACACAGCAAGTTTAAACATAAAAAGGAAAATATGTATGTTCAGTCTTGCAAAAACTTGCATTGTTTGTCGTTCACTAATTTAGAAATATAATCAGAACTTTAGATTTTAAGTTGTGTTGTGAAATGCCAGACAAAACCACTACCATGGTCAAATATAGTTTAAGTGCATGCTTTAACATCGGGCTTTGTAAACTGTCCCAGTGCTGCATCCGTCTTATTTTCACTGAAACTTTTTGCCATTATAGTTTCATTTCTTTTTTCAAATTGTCACATTAGTATTCAGTTGTTACTCCGTATTATTTCCCCATGAAAATAATAATTAAAAATGTTTGGATGAGCTTCAAATTCTCAATGTCATCAATCTGTGTTATTGGGATGAACCCTTGCTGTAGGCTGCAAACCTGAGGGGAAAAATGTCCCAATGTGAAAAGTGTTGGACAAAAAGCTTTAGTTTAATATTCTCATGAGCAACTGATTTGAGGTCAGATCCAGGAGATGTTAGACTTCACACTATATTCAATGTTCTTAACTCAGACCAACGTCATCTTTACCTTTTATTTTAAGTGCAAATCAGCTGAAATCTGACTCTTACTGACACTCTAATGCTAACGAATTCAGGATAAAAATAAAAGATCAGAGCAGCTTGGTCAGATTGAATAGCCCATCCCTCAACGATGTCTAAAAGTGTATTTCGTAATATCTGCTAGATCTGGATAAATCTATCATAGTACATTTCATAGCAATTTAAAGGCAATCTATCCATTCTCAAAAACTCTAAAGGCCTTTTTCCACACAGTTTCAAGGAATTTCAAAGACTCAGCACTGCTCGACTTGATGGAAATGTAAGAAACTCAACGTGTGATGTGCAGTGTCATTAATCCAACATTATAATCAACAGAAAAAAACATGGTCAGTAAAAAAAAAAGAAAGTTGAATGGTACAGTACGTAATGTGAGGACTTTGCTAATCTTGCTGTTATGAGGTTTTTTTCATACATGTTAGTGTGTCACTTTAAAATATTAGTACAAACAAAAATGTGAAATAATCTTTAGGTAAAACATATCTATTATCCTCTTTGTCAACCTGCAGCTCTGTGCTTACATATGTATCTTTTGAAGCCTGTAACCAGCCCGCTGAATGGCTTCCAAGATAGAAGAAATAATCAAGTAAAAGTAAAAAATGGAATAGTCTTCAGAAAAACACAAATAGCACTGTTTAGAAATGAATCCTTATAAACATGCCTTTGTGATATACATTATACTCAGAGGTGGGAAGTAACTAAGTAGATTTACTCAACTACTGTACTTAAATACAAGTTTGAGGTACTTTACTTATAAACTAGCTGCACCTTTACCAGCTTTGAAAACACAGTAATGCATCAATAATTATAATCAAAACATATTATATATATTATTCTGAAATGGGCCAATCTGCATAATGAGTACTTTTACTTTTGGTACTTTAAGTATATTTTGATGCCAGTACTTTTACTCGATTAACCTTTTAAATGAAGGAGTTTGATTTGTAACAGAGTATTCCTACACTCTGGTACTTCTACTTTTACTTAAGTACAAGATCTGAGTACTTATCCCACCTCTGAGTATACAGTGGTCTCCTCATAGTAATACTACAAGCCAGCAATTCCTCTGGTGCACCACTAGGGGGCAGTAACAGATGGAGAAGAACGTTTGTAAACACAAGGGTCCACGTGCGGAACATTAAAACAGCAAACAAAAAGAGATGTGGAAATGAGTGTGACTCGTATCATGTGAATGTTAAACTGCCAAGTTCAGGATTAATGACATGCTGGGGCTTCATAAAGTATTACGTCAAGTTGTTTTCTGAATTAAGCTCTGTAAAAATGTCTATTTAATGTGTTGGTAACAGTCAGAATCCTCACACCAAGGGAGAAGCTGTAACAAAAAAATGTCTGGACTTTGAATATTTGTATCTGTATTATTCAGTCATTGTGGCATAAAATATGAAATACTAGCTTGGATGATAAATATAGAGCTTGCTGTACGCAGTTAAATGACATTCCCCGACGATATCACTGGGTTTCAAATCATCTCAGTGTCACAGTGTGCTCGATTTGTTCCGGTGACAGACTGAGTTTTGAATGAGCTGTGCTGAAACAAGCAGCAACCGCCATGTTTAACAGCTAAATATAAGTATAAGATATCATGGAAAACACCATTTCTTTAGTCATTGAGATTAAGGCAGAGAAAGCAGGTATATCCAGGGCATATTTTCATGATTGACAGGTGTCACAACTTGGCTCTGCCCAAAATATGTCTTTATGGCCAAGTAAACATTTATTTAAAACAATCTTATTCTGTGTGGATTTGAGGTTTGGTCCCTGTGTGTGGACTGTAGTGGAAGGTCTGCAGTCTGTTCCTTATTGACTGCTGGGTATTTGTCCGCTGTAATCTCTCTTACGTCCCTCTGCTCACACTAGTTTTGTGATTTCTCCTTTGTTTAAAAGGAGACACAGAGAGCTGCCTCTTGTTTTCATGAACCCTAAATGGAGAGAATGTAACATCAAATGTGCTGGACCTGTTCCCTCGGCACGACAATGGCTGTTTTTCGGAAGGTGCCTCAGGCAGGTGTTTTGTTGCTGTGGATGATTCACAGAGTCGAAAGAGGACACAATATCAAAACAACACATTTACATTAACTGCGGGTAGATTACAGTGCAGCATCAGTGTTATGTTTTGCTGTGGACCGTGTCCTGGTGTAATTGCATTCTTAATTGTTTTGCGAATCCAGCTGCAGGCCTGCACATTTAAAAAAAGAAGCTCACTGGAAGAACTCCAGAAATGTTGAACAAACCATTTGCATTTTCTCCGGCAAAATTTGACCAAATCAATAAAAAAAAATCTGTTGCTTTCTGCTGCTTTGAACTGAGCACCCCAACATCCTGAAATCCTCTTCTCCTTGTAAGACACATCCGGGTCTGTTTCCAAAGGCTTTCTGATCTCTGACCTCTGCCCTGTCGCCCTCTCCCACCTCAAGGTCAACTCTGGAGACTTGAAATGTGTGTGTGAGGTTTGAAACCCCCTCCAGTTCAGTTCTAGTCCCTCAGAGAGTGGCTCTGGTCCGTTGCTTGCAGAGCTGAGACTTTTAGGACTTCTGCTCGGGGGGGGCCGCCGGGGCAGCAAGGCTCTCAGGCTTCACTATCTGGTAGGTGATCAAGTATTCTGGGTAAGCCTGTGGACAAAGACACATACCATCTCAGTAACACTTATAAAAAGTATAGTTTAATTATTTTTGAATGCTAAACTTGTACATACATCAATTACACAGAAAACGAAATAATTATTATAAATTAATTTTGAGGATTTTCAGTTTCCCTGGAAATAGAATTTTTTCGGATTTTTGTATGTTGCTCTATTTGAAGACTATTCCAGGAAATGTGATAGCAATGTTAAACTGTTATATATTTGAGACAAATGACAATTAAATCAAAGTGGTGCAGTCGATATGTATTGCTGTAGGCTGACATTTACAAGATGGTGTATACTGACATAATTGTTGTCACTATACTAAGAATCTTTGAGCATCAGGAAAAGCGCTTTCTAAAGATCTTGCATTATTATTATTATTGTATTTTAAAATATATAACAAAACGGTAAAATCTTGTAAGCTTGAATTAATCATACACCTTACTTCAGCCATCTAATCAAGAACTCATTCAAAAAACCATTGCAGATTTCAAGTGTTAAATAGTACCAGGTTAGGCACTCTTTCCTGCACCACTATATAGTCCACAGATTATTTAAACATTAAAATAAATATTTATTTCTGAAAAGAAGTGTGTACTGACCTGCTCCCCTCTGTAGATGACGTACTCTGCGTAGGCCAGTCCGTTGACGCTGGGTCTCCCGATCACTGAGTGGTGTCCGGGGGGGGCGTGGGCCATCTTCATGGCACTGAACTGGAGGAAGGACTTCCCCAGCGTCACTCTGCAGAACAGCATCTGCCTGAAATGCAAACACACAATATCAGGCTGTCAATGGGTAGCTCACATAAATACTGTCTGTTAAAATTCTAAAATCATAAAATTCCTGATTTCTTTGTTTCCCAATAAAATCATAAAATTCCTGATTTCTTTGTTTCCCAATGTACTATTATACATAATAATAGTACATTCTAGTTTTCATAGTACTTTGATTTAGCAATAAGTACAACATCATTTGATGTGCTGGGCTGTTTTGCACTACCAGGAAATGATAGAAGAGCAGATAGACATTTATCAAAATGTAAGCTTTGGAGAAAACAGCCAGGGAAAGAAAGCTTAATGTTGAGTCTCCCATTGTTCCTTTGTGCAATGCATTGTGGGACAATCTATCAAAAAAAGTTGAGTGGACTAAGTATGCATAGCCACATTTTTCAGTTAACTGGTCAATTAAGGATTTCATAATCAGACCCTGATTAGAGTTAGTTTGTATTGTGGAGTTGGGACACGGGTAATATTTCTTCTAAAGTAATGAGTCATCTCACCTGTGGCACACGTAGCAGGAGCGGTCTTTGTGGGTGGGACATCCCGTGCCTCCACCAATCCCATACACGTACTGGTTGCTCTTTGAGGAGTTCTCAGCAAAATAGATCCCGGCGCCAAACATGCCACCGATGTAGGCGTGTCGCTCATCAAAGCCCTTATGGATGATGGCATTGATGAAAGGGGAACCTGGCAGGAGAAGAGACACATAATAGGCCATAAAACGACAAAAACATGAAAGAAACTGCATGCTGGGGGCAGGGACGCTTCCTTTATGGCCATCTGGAAAACCTCCTTGTTTTAGCTGCCAATAGCATTTGAATTTGATTAAAACAAAGTGTCTCTCAACAGCTCTCTACCCCAGACTGTAAATCACAAATAAATAAAAGCTCAAGTTTAAAGGAAGCAGAGAAGGCAGAGAGATTGAGATACTGTTGAACTTAATGTTACTCTGGGAAATCCACGATCTGAGAGACTTTGAACATGGTGTGTCCGTTGGTGCTAGACGCACAATTTCAGGCATCAGTGAAGCCAGACGACTTCCTGGGATTTTCTTCTCTGCAGTGTTCAAAGTTTGAAAGGATCAGAACTCTGCTGCAGTCCAGAGGGATGTGTCCTGGCGGAGCTTTGTTGTTGGAAGTGGACATGGAGGATTAATAACCGGATGTCCTTTGCTGATAACATCAACAACAACAACACCGCTCCCGTGGATTCAATCACCTCGACGTCAGGGGGACGTCCCTGTCCTTTCTTGCCGAGTGTACCAATGTACCAAAATGGTTTAATGTACCGGCTATAAATGTTGTTGGATTTGTTCAAACTTTAAGTCAGCCTGTAAGTCTGAAAACATTGCAGCACGAAGCCAAGTTCATCTCAGAGCACTGGAGTGACTGAACGTTGGAGCAGAACACTATGCTGGGTTTTTCTTCTGTCAACTAAGACGAAGTGACTGAAGCTATAGAGATGTGATTACAACTTTATAAAGAGAAAAACACTACTTCCAAATTCAACATATTCTTATTTGTTTAAGATTTTGGTGCATTTTGAAAGCCTCTTTAAAAAAGCAGCAGAGAATCTTTGAGATATGGAGGACGTATCTCAAAGTAATTCTAGTTTTTTTCTGAGAGACAGATTCAAGAGAACAGGAACATGTATCATGCATTTGGCTCTCTAGCCTTTGGCTGCGTCACTATATTCCAAAGCGGTTAAACAGCTCTAGGGTATGAACACATGTTGACAAAGAAGATAACTTCATTAAATTGTATTTGAAAAGTAAATCAACAAGCTGTTGGATTCTCTAATATATAATATTAAAAGCAGTTCTGAAGAGGTGAGTTTTGATTTGTGATTTAGTGATATAGTTATAAAAACTCCACCCCCCTGAACTATAGTGTGTGTTTACCGTGAAAGAGCATCCGCTCGTTGTGATGGTTGTGATTCTCGTCTGCTATTTCCTTTTGTCTGTGTGAATATCTCTCCCGGAGCTTCTTATTCACCACCTTCTGAATCTGCAGTGAGGGAAATGAAAGGAGAAGCAGAGTTAGGGATGAAGAGTGAATTAAGTATTCAAATGGATTTTCAAAGACAACAACTTCCATCTTTGTAAGTTAATTAACTCCTGTGTAATGAAAATGGAAAACTGGTGTAGTGTTGTCAGTACCCACCTTAATGATGTTGTACCGGCTGAAGACCCCCCCCGCGTTGCCTCCGTCGCGATGCTCTCGGATAGTGCTCTGAAGCTGACGGGGAAACAGACAGGAGGCGATTAGAATACCTCAATTATGCAAAGCTTTTAAGGTTAAAATGGGAAATGTGTGGGATAAAACAAGCTGATGGGATGCAGTTTCATTGAGTGATTCATCGCTCTATGAGGACTCGTTCTCTACCTCTCTATCTGCAGTCTGGGAGTGTTTTTATAGTCCGAAAAATGATTATGCCCACCTCAGTTAGCAATTCAAACTGAGATTACCTTTTGAAAGTGTTCTGTTAACTCTGATGTTTTATTATTTATAGATGTATATCTGGTGTTTGAGCCATCACCGCCCTATTAGGTACGCCTAGCTGAAACTAATGCACACTTATTTATCCCAGGGAAAATTGGGTTATGTGACAGTTTATCCAATTTAGAATGAAATAAAATATGTATATAAACATAATAAATTAAATTAAGCGTCTAGATATACCGAGTTATACAATTATAAATATAGATATATTATATCTTGTATCCATCTTAAAACAGTGTTCATCAATCTTGAACAACACTGTTATAAACCCTGACAGAAATTATGAATAACTATAAAATACGATTTTCAATATACGCAGCGCTCAATTTATCATTATAAACAGACCAGATAGACCTCATGTCCTAATTACAGTTTAAATGACCTGTTAGCATCTGACGGTGCTCATTAATTTCACACACATTCAGAGTGATGTCTGCTGTCTACTTCAGTTACCGCTTTCATTGAGAGGGAAATGTAGTCAGAGGAGCAGGAGGTGACAACGTGTCCTTTACCAGAACTTCAATGACCAGACTGCTATAAACTCATGAATGTAGTGATGGAAACGCGTGTAGTTTGTGTGCGTGTTCGTACTTCTTCCTCCACAGACTGGAACTCCTTGTCGTCCGTTGCCAGGTCGATGAGCACGGTGCCCTGGCTGGAGCAGTGGAACGTCAGGTACGGGTTTGCACCTAAAATACACACATTTTAAAAAGGGGTGTTCAAATGAAGGATACAAAATGACACCACTTAAAACATTTCATTAACAACAGCTATACTTCCATAAATAACAAAAAGAGAGTGATGTATCGATGAAAAAATACAATTTGGGGTGTTTCTGTGCTGATCTGAGGCATGTTCACAATTGATCAGGAGAAGTGGCCTGAATATGTAGATGGAATTCATGTATTTGGTTAGTCACTATGTCACCATTGGTGATTGTGAACATGTGTGTATGTGTCACTGGGTAAATGATATCATCTGCATACCTGTTAATCCCAATGTGTAAAGTAATTTTACACATTTCATTTCTGTTGACTGCAATTGAAACGCGACGCAATCCAACCATAACTCAACCGTTACCGTCTATATTTTGGTTTGGCTACTACAAAAGTATCATCTATGCTATTTCCATGTACAATAAATGGAAAGGCGTGCAACTACGAACTATTGCCCTTTTGTTTGGATACGCCATCAGACAGACCTCCTTGCATTAGCCAATTGGATTTCCAGTATTGTCTGTTTTTATTTCAATACAGTGAATCTGATAAAGGAATAGATGTGTGTGTGTGTGTGTGTGTGTGTGTGTGTGTGTGTGTGTGTGTGTGTGTGTGTGTGTGTGTGTGTGTGTGTGTGTGTGTGTGTGTGTGTGTGTGTGTGTGTGTGTGTGTGTGTGTGTGTGTCTGTGTGTGTGTGTGTGTGTGTGTGTGTGTGTGTGTGTGTGTGTTTCTCCTGACCTTGCTGGCCTCCCAGCAGCCTCTCGATGCCCTTGATGAGTTTGTGTCTGTGACCGTAAGCGTTGATGCCAATCTCCTTCAGCTCCTCGTGACCCATGTCTGCCAGCACGTCCAGCGAAATCTGCCCGGAAACAACACACACCTCAGTCAGTCCGGCTTCTGGTTGTCTTTTGTCAAAAGACTGTAAATTGAAAGTAAGAAAAACATTTCATAATCATAGTGTCAGATAACTATTCAAACCATATTTCTGTTTATACATCTGTCAACTTAAATCAAATGTTTGTCACAACGGCAACGGCTTTAACTGTTCAGTGAGATTGCCAAAAATACAGAAAGTTTAAGGAGCTAAGACATATCAGAGAGACAATGGGCCATCAAATATGGATGAATATTCATGAGAGAAAGATAGAAGCAGCATGAAGAAAAGGTCAGTGAATGAACGGCAGTAATCAAACCATTGAAATGCAAATGGGGACGGTGAAGTTTTGCAAGTATTTTGAGGCGCTTTTAAACGCTGACCTTTACCTACGTTCCTCTGTGTAGCTGTGATTACTGTAATAGCTGTTTTTCATCATAGCTTAAATACTGCTGGGAGTTTACTGAGACTAAACAGAAACTTGGAAGTGTTCTGTTTTTCCTCAGTAAACTGATGGCAAAAACCTCAGTTTCACTTTTTAGAAATCACAGCCAAGAGATGAAACCTTTAGGGGGCCGTAACCTCTCACACCAATTTGAGTTCATCACCTTAAACAACAGAAAGTGAAACCTCCGCCTGGATCTCATTACTAGCTGACACTTAAAGCTGCCATCTCACACTTTCAACACAAAGGTTAAAAAGCAGCATCAGCACAAACTGCCACCAAGAATCTCCAGCTAAATAACTTCTTATATTGAGTTAGAATCGCTTCGTCTTGAAACATGATTACGTTCTCTTTGCATGAAGGGGCTCCAACTAGACTGTAATAAGAGAATCACTTTGTGTGGACAAGTGCTTTCTCCACAACAACAGAGAATCAGGGGCTTGGGGCTTTACACAGGGAACAGATGCAAGAGTAGAACCTTTTTCAATCATTACAGCTTAATGTTTCTGGGTTGACATGTTCCAAAGTGAAGTTTGATAGCATTGAAGTTAAATCTCTTGATGCTTTGTAAACTCTTCTGTATGAATCTGAGTTTTTGTTATTGGTGAGATTAAAAGGGTTTCCATTAATACCGATTAATCTCACTTTCTTTCTGTCTGTATTCTTCATATTTCTCCTCAAGCCTTTCTTGTTCTCTCCCCCCATCCATCTGTATCCTTCTTCTGTCTCTGTTGCTCCTCTGACATCCCCACTCTCAATTTTGACACAATTGACAGCTGAGTCCGATGGGATTATAATTTAGTTTGCAAGTATTTAGCGTTTAAACCATAATAATCCATTAAAGTGAAACTGTTGATGGCCCTAGATAGAATACAAAAAAGTAAAGGGATCACCAAAGTGATTACAGTTCATCCTAAGGGGAACATTGGTGTCTGAAACAGTTTTCATGGCAACCCATCTGCTGTTGAGATAACTCAGTCTGGACCAAAGTGGTGGACTGACAAAACCAAAGAAAACTGAGAAATGAGTTCAAACCAAGACCGAATAAGTATGTAACCCTGAAGCGAATGAACTACGAGAATACAAAACTATTTCCATTATAAAAAGACTTTGCTTGCAATCTCTCCTTGTAACTCTTTCCAACTTTCATCCTCTCCCGTTGTTCACACCTTGTGCTGTTCCCTCTCACTTTGATTCCCCCCCAAACACTTAAAAGGATGTACCTGTTCCCGCTGGAAGGTTTCTCTGAGGTGTTCCAGCCCGAGGCTCTTCAGGAACTGGTTGATGGTCATGTCGAGCAGAGCTGCAGAAACACATCAGCGTGGTTATCGGCTGTTACACAGTATTGTAGTAAATGTATCATTAAGTCTCATTTAAGTATTTCACTTCCTTCTCTGGTTTGATTTCCCTGCAGTTTGAATTCACATCTAGCTACTAATTCTCACTTCTTTAGAACAGACAGAAGGCTGTCTTTTCGACCATTGTTAGGATTGATATTAGGTTTGTAATTACCATGTATGCAAGTTTCAACCGTTTCAACACTTCCTGTAATGTAAATTGCCTTGCTGAGACCTTCCCTTTCCCTTTGTTTTGAGTGTATAAAGTGCTTGTATTTTCTGTTGTATATTGTCAGATCTAGTACTAACTTGCTGGTGTTAGACTCTGTCCTTTCAGCTGAAATAGATTCACTTTTTTGACTTTATTAAATAACAAAACTTTGCTTTAAACTTCTATTATTCGTTCATTTCTTAACCAACAGGTTGTTTTTGTGTCGAATTTCCTCCACGCACAGGTTGACTCAAAAACAGTTTTCATTAGAAGAGAACCAGACTTTGATTCAAGATGAAACTGTACATACTTTCTCCTTCCTTCCTGTCCGACCCAGACGCTCCATCAGCTGGTCCGGTGGCCCCGCCCACAGTGAGGTCACTGAGGGACGTGGTCAGGTTGTCGAGGCTGCTGGCAGCAGACAGGCAGGAGGGGGATGGAGACGGAGAGACGCCCCCTGCCGCACCTGCACCCCCCACACTAGCACTCACCTGAGAGAGGGAGAGGAGATTTGGTTAAATGGACCAATGGGTCAAATTGAATCACTAAACTCCTGTACTGACTGACTAACAGTTTACAACTCTTTACAGTGCAATCTCTACCAGTTCTTTCATTGTTTACAGCTCAACAGACATTTCATTTGTTACGGTACACATGACTTCATATTTAGATTTTCTATAATTCAAGTCATTTTTCATGCTAAAATGGCTAAAAACTCTTTATTCAGCCTCTTAAACAAATGAATACATCTAGAATACAATCAGCAGATGAATTGTTAATTAAAATAGCCATAGATGCACCCTTAGCTTTCAATTGAAAATATAATGTTTAATGCATTCAGTTGTTTTAAGCGTTAACACTTCTTACATTAATACAATGTCAATTCTCACACTTGCTTCAGCTTATTATAATAATGAGCGATTTAGCATCATTTCCACATACGTTAGCAGTTTTTTCTTACAGCTAACACATAATATGGCCACTACAAGATTAAGTGTCATCGAATAGCCCTTTGTCTGTACTCTATGTCAGTGTCCACACTCACCACAGTGGCCTGGGGCTTCAAACAGCTGGGCAGGGCATCGGGAGGCATGGCGTCAATCAACAACGCTCTGATGTCATCAGCCTGCGACAGACAAAGAGACAACAAAATTGTTAATAAACTCTATCCAGCTAAAACAAAGTATTCACTTCAATTTTAATGTAATATAATGTTTGTGTATGAACTGACAATAATGTGTAGCAAATATCTATCCTCCTAAAGTCTGCTGGTTACCCGGATGTCATGAATTGAGCAAGAGTGGGCTTTGTTTCGAATGAACTTCACTTCATATGTGGAGGAATTTGTTGCAATTTCTCACTGCCAAGTTGAGATGTGTTTGGACCGTTTATTAGTGCCTTGAGATAACTGCCAAGAAGAACAACAAAACGCCTCAAATGAACATGCACCACATGAATAGTGGGGGAACATGCCTGATTTAAAAACTGACCTGCTGTTCATTTCAAATCAAATTGCCTATTGTCAGCTCTTCAGTTAAATGCACTTCGAAGGAGCAGCTGGAATATTCCAGCTGTCCTTGGGAGTGAGGTTCAGTTTGACAGCCTATAAATGATCAGACTGTTCAGCACACTGCTACTTATGTGTTAAACAACATGGCTTGTTATTTATAGTCAACAATAAAACGCTACAAGCATGTTCTGTCCTCTAATCTGTAGATGCTTTGTGATAATATTAGCAGCATCACAAGTTGATCCTCCTGTAGACATCAGCAGGAGGGACGTGTTATTCCCTAGGGAACACCGGCAAACTATGGTACCTACTGTACAGGCAAGGAACCTTATTAGGAGGCTTATTAGGAAGCCTCATTAGGGAGCTAGAAGTTTTGACGCTACCTGTCCCACCCTTAAAACCCTTCTGTCTGATTAGTTTCTCATAACCAGTCAAACATCAGTTTTGCTAATGATATCGCCGTTGGCTGGCTCACAACAGGAATCAGGCGCCTAATGTGAAGAAATGAGGGCGGATTCTGGGTATGATTTCTTCTAAAAGTCTCTCATACCGTTGCTAAGTCGAGCGGCGTCTGCACCTCCTGGTTCTTCATGGTGGGGTCGGCTCCATGGGCCAGCAGCAGAGCGCAGAGCTGCGTCCGCCCCTTCTGCGCCGCCTCATGGAGGGGAGTGAACGCCCACTTGTCTGTGGCGTTGACGCAGGTGTTGAACTTGATCAGCAGGGCGGCGATATCCACGTGCTAGACAGAGGGGAGGAGGTAGAGGGGAGGAAGGAGGGGAGAAGAGGAGGAAAAGAGATTAGAAAATGAGAGCAGAAAGAATCGCAGGTGGTGGGAGGATGGAAGAGAGACAGCGGCAATAAAGGAAATGAATGAAGCCATGGTGTAAGAGTGCTATAAAAATCACCATCTACTTTTTATTTAAATGTGTGTGTGATTTGTCTGGAAGAGAAACTGTGAATTATTCATTTCATCATCATTCTTGTTTTCCCGCTAGTCTTTCCTTGCCTTCTCTTCCTGTTCTTTTTTTTCTCATTGTGTCTCCGGCTCATGTCTTAGCGTCAAACACAATGTAGCTTGTCTGGAGTACCAGCGGGGGATCCTAAAGAGAGAGTGTGTGTGTGTGTGTGTGTGTGTGTGTGTGTGTGTGTGTGTGTGTGTGTGTGTGTGTGTGTGTGTGTGTGTGTGTGTGTGTCCAAAACGCACAGCTCATCAAGTTTTTATTCATGACTCTTACAGGAGCAGGATGCTGTTATGCTATAAGCAAAATGTGACTGAGAGGCAACCAAGGACAACAGATGGAGGAAAAACTACTTACATGGATTTTTAAGAATGATGTCATAAGGTTAATGATAAATATATAAATTGGGAAGTAGGGCGGAATTAATATGGTTCTTACCATCCCACGTAAACAGAAACAAATATCTGCAGGCATTAACTGAGCTGTGAACAGCAAGACGCTTTCAGTCTTCATCAGCACTAAGTAAGCAACAATATTCCACATTTGGGATATGCATCCTACATGAAACAATAGATTTAAAGTCTCAAATAATAAATAACAAATGTTGCTTTGACAGTTGGCAAACTTTACGATGTTTATCTAAGTCAATTCATTCTCCCAGTGTTTTTTATTTAGCAGTTATCCCCAAAAAATTATTGCCAAACTACGTTGCCAAAGCCCAAGAGGATGTCGTCAAATTGCTAGTTTTGTCATAAAAAGATCACCAGACACAACTTGGAACCAAAAAACTGGAACCAGTGAATATTTGGCTTTCTTGGTATTTTTTTATCAATTACGTGATCATACAAATTGTTAAGTAAAAGCCTAATTTGTCTCAGCACTTAATGGAACAGTTAATACTTTTATTGGATACGAGTTGCACCAGACAACAAGTATGTGAGCAGCACGGTCCTCAAGACTGCAGTGTTGCCAAATAACGTGTGTGTGTGTGTGTGTGTGTGTGTGTGTGTGTGTGTGTGTGTGTGTGTGTGTGTGTGTGTGTGTGTGTGTGTGTGTGTGTGTGTGTGTGTGTGTGTGTGTGTGTGTGTGTGTGTGTGTGTGTGTGTGTGTGTGTGTGTGTGTGTGTGTGTGTGTGTGTGTGTGTGTGTGTGTGTGTGTGTGTGTGTGTGTGTGTGTGTGTGTGTGTGTGTGTGTGTGTGTGTGTGTGTCTCACCCCGTATGAAGCAGCATTGTGTAAAGGTATGAGCCCTCCTTTGTCCTGTGCATTCACATCGGCTCCATGTTCCAGCAGGTACTCTGCTACCTCCAGGTTATTATAGCCCGCTGCACAGTAGAGAGATAGTCAGATAAATAAGGGAAAAGGAGAAACAAAATAAAGTCAGGTAAGGAGAGAGGAGGAAAGACAGTGTCAGCCTACATAAGCTGCAGCATGACAGCCTATAATCATCTTTTCCTTTTACAAGCAAGGCAGAGGGTGCGTGGGTGTGTGTCTAAATGGTCAGAGCTGTGAAGAAGAAAAAAGACCTTCAAAGTGTTTTTCTGCAGTTTCTTAACTTTAAAAATGCCAATCGTGCAGCAAAAATAGTTCCGTATTAAGATCTACTTGTATCATCACACACACTAGGTTAGTAATGAAACGCTTTATAAATATAGAGTCTAGAAACACAGGAACAGATTTTGTATGGATTATATGAAGAAACAATGCAGGCAGAGGCATTTACCTTCACCCCTGACAACCACGGTTTAATTCCAACATTATGATAACACGTTAATCACTGGGTCGTGACTTTATTTAAGATTAAGAGACCATAGTTTAGCCTAACCTTAAGCGAGCTCTCACAACATTACTTTGTAATCTCCCCATCGTGTCAGAGTGTGTGCCCGATGTTTTATGGCGGTCTCGATAAGTAAATGTACCAAGCACAAAGATAAAAATATACTATCTAAATATTGCCACTCCCTGACATTTAAAGGTGCGGTTCAAAGACATTTCTGTCTTATGTTTATGCGGAGTGGTGTTATCTCTGAAGCTTATCACGATTACAGAACCTGAATAAATCCTGTGTGTGTGTGTGTGTGTGTGTGTGTGTGTGTGTGTGTGTGTGTGTGTGTGTGTGTGTGTGTGTGTGCGCGTGCGCGTGTGCGTGTGCGTGCACCTTAGAAGACCCACAGTATCTCTGCTTTCAGGGTTTAAAACTTCATCAAGTTTGTGTGAGATCCAAGGTCGTTATATAGAGTACGCTATAGCTACTAGTTTTATGTCACCATAAAAACAACAACACATTGCCCTCATCCCTGCCTCCCCTCACTGCTCCCGGTGCATTTAACTACTTATTTTAAGATCTTGCAGATTGCTTTAGAGGCACTGCGTGGTCAGGCTCCCAGGTATATTTTTGAGATGCTGAACCCCTTTGTTTGGTTTGGTTTCTTTTAGCAGAGTGTACCGTTTCACTGTTTTTCTATGTGGTTTTAACTGATAAATACTGTAAAAAACCTATAGAAACTATGTCTATCTGTAACATGAATTACCTTTATTTATTTGTTAAAGATTAAAGGGGCCCTATTATGCTTATTTTCAAGTTCATATTTATATGTAGTGCCTCTACTGTGACATGTTTACATGCTTTCATCTTCAAAAGCTCTTTATTTTTCTCATACTGCCTGTGCTGCAGCACCTCTTTTCACCCTCTGTCTGAAACCAGAACCCACTCTGGTCAGCTCTGTTGTGACTTTTGAACCGCTTAGAGATATCCCACCCCTTAGCCTATCAGATACAATGTGCTGCCAGTAGAAGCGCGAGTGTCACATAGTGATGTTACTGAAGTAAATAAAGGAGTCCAATGAGGATGGGATTTTAGCCTTTGCAGACCATTTACATGCACACAAACCTATATAACACACTTCGAGAGGGAAAACCAAAAAAAGCATAAAAGGGCCTCTTTAAAAAGGAACCAATCAGCTACCTTTTTCATGGATGTCATGCCACGTAAAAAATGACATAAACCGGTGTGTTTTTTTAAACACCATGAGGGTTTTCACTTGGTTTCCCCATACAATAACACCAGTAAAATAAGTGATTTATGTGTAATAAAAATGATAATGAAATTGCTCAGTTTTCCAGTCTGCCTGTCAGTGAACACGCTGTTTCTACCCTGAACACTTCAGATGTCTGGGGGTTTACTACCTTGTTCTTGGCACTACACTAGGCACAAATCCCAGGAGACTCTGTGACCAGAAGATATGTTCAAATTTGCTTGAATCCTACAAACTTCAGCCAATCAGTAACAACAAACCTGGCTTTAATCCTTTATTTAGCCTCCAACGTAACATGCCAACTTATTAGAATGATCTGTGAATGTGTGCGCAGCTTTTTATTTGATGTCTCTTCATGTGAATTACCTGCGAGGTGCAGAGGTGTGGAGTTGCGTCCCTGCGTGTCCCGACAGTTGATGTTGTCGGGGCTGCAGAGCTTCTGCACCCGGGCCAGGCAGCCTTTCTTGGCGGCGTCCAGCAGTGCGGCGTCCCCTCGCAGCAGGTCCTGGATGTCCGTGTCCCCGTCCTTCACCAGGTCCAGAGGCGTGTTCCCATCTCGGTTCTTCTTGGTGGGATCTGCTCCGTGCTGCAGGCCAAAACAGAAAAGGAAGAAACAAAGATTTTCTTTAAAAAAAAGGTAAATGTTTTATCAACCGTAAGTCCTTGCTTGCACACTAAAATATTTATGGCAGACAGTGTTTTCAATCAAAAAGCATAAATGTTCCTGTCATGACAAAGACAAAATGGCTTAATGTTGGTACAAAATAGGCGTGTTGCAATATAGTAGCATGGACAAAAACCTCATGTTTATAATGAACATTAGAATGAGTGTGATATATTTTCCAAAAAAGGGACAAAAGGCACAATAATCTAATCCCAATTATATCCTTATTGTAAATCATTTAGCCACCCTACTCCTGGTACAGAATATAAACTGTCATCAACGTTCCCAAAACAAAAACATCAGTCCCCTAAATCCCTTACTGTTTGAATCCCAGAGGAACTTTTATATTTGACAAGCAAAAAATGATGACAAGCGAGGGGAGGATGAAGGTAATTCGCGGGAGAGAGGGAGATAGAGGGGTGAGCACAGGACACCCAGCGAAGTAGAAAACACACACCCTGGAGACGGGCTGGAAAGAAAAACATTTTCATCGTTCAATGCCTAGGTGACACTTTCACTTGTCATTTCATTTCAAGTTTTGTAAAACCCCTCATTAAAACTTGATGTTGTGAGACCACTCCCCCGGGTATCCACTGCTGTCCTGAAACTGTCCGTTAAACATCTGTCGCTGCTGTATTCCCGTTAAAAAACTTTTTGAACCTATCCCTCCTCTGATTTGTCTGCCCTACTTTTTTTATTATCCCTTTGCTGCTGCTGTAATCATATTCTCACTGTAATTTATTCACACTCCAGGAAAGTGAGAATAGAGACCCATTCAAGTCATAATTGGGGACATTAACATATAAACACATGTCGCTTTTGTGAGTCTTTCGATGGATTCCGCCTATATTCAGTTCATGAAAGATTTCCCATTTACAGAAGTGAATACTTTTGCAACCTTTGAGCTCTTTGAACAATTATCTTGCTCAGAAAAGCTGATGCATTTATTATTTTTGATTTGCGCACAAATAAGATGGGAATGCATCTCCCAAAAATGATCATTTGTATATCCATTAGTCACCCACTGTTGCCTTGAATTTGCATGAATCCACGGGTAACGAAGAATCCAAAAAAGGAGTAAGTAAATGATGACCCAACAACAGCAATACAAATTCAAATCATCCAGTTTTTTCTAGAAAAATATCGTATGAGGGCGCTGATCTTGTATATACAATTCTCGTGAGAACGCCCGTATACAAGATGGCGGCGCGGACGTTAAACAACGAGGCGTCGGAGCTCCATAAAAACAAAGCTGTCTATACCGTCTGACGGACTACATTTTCATATTTCTTTAGTTATAATACCGTTTTCGAGGAACAAAAATATTGTTTTCTGGCATCACTTTAAAATGTAATGGGGAAAATCAGCATTTTGGTTCGAGGGCGCACGCCAAAAGTAAGAGGGCACAGCGCCCGTTACCCAGTTAAGACCAAACCCCTATAATCCAAGTGTCATATATCAAGTTACGTGATCTAGATAATTGAAGAAAATATGCTTTTTTGCTATGATGTACTATTTAAATCATTTATCCACTTCCTTCAATTCAGTTTTTGGATTCTTTGTTCATCGTGGAGGCATTCGAGAAATACACAAGGTGAGTAACTTATAGACAGATGATAACTTTTGGAGGAATTGTATTTCTACAGTCATGCTTGTGGCTCGTTTAGGCTGTACTAACATTTGCTAATTAGCGCTAAACCCAAAATTGAGCTGAGTCTGAGAGCAATGCCATATTTATCTTTAGAATATTGTACAACAACAAGAAAGACAAAATCTTGGACGCCTTTAGCCATTAAGATTCACAATCTGGGCACCATGAGTGGCTGTACCAAATGTCACGGCATTCCAGCCAATAGTTGTTCAGATATTTCAGTTTGGACCCTCTCTAGAGCCACACTGCTAGCATGGTCACAAACTCACACATATATGGGGGTTTATTGTGAACAGTGACATCCATAATAAAAAGAAAGCCAAAAAGGAAAATGTCACACAGCTTGCCTGAAGGTCGGTCTCTTGCAAGACGATGACACATCACACCCAGATCACAAGTCATGGGAGTTCACACGTTTCAAGCCAAGTGCTAACAAAGCAGATTCTCCTTTAATTGGAGGAGAAACGCATTATGTTCCTCAACTTCTCTCCCAACAAAAGAAATGCTAATACGTGTTTTGTGCATCACAAAATCCCCGCTGAAAATCACATCACTTGGAGCTAATTTTATTCCGAGCACAGATCCTACACAGAAAGGGGACAATAGGAAGTTGACAACAAACAGAGCAGACAAAAGAAAACCTATTGCTGAACTCAGGAATAGTTTATCCAAAAAAGAGAGAACAGTTGTATCCCGGGGGCCGCGGCAGATTAACTCCTATGTGGGGGATTCTGTGTATGTGTGTGTTAAGAGGGGAAATGAGGGCGCTGCCAAGCTCAAGCTTACTTTAGGATTTTCCAAGCAGAGTGGAAAAATGCCAAACCTTCCCACCACCTTGAAGAATCGATCGTCTGTATGTGTGTTTCTAACCTCTGCCTCCAGACCTCAGATCAGAGCGGCCTGAGGGAGCTGCTGTATCTCTGAAGTCAACGGCTGTTTGGAGAGCACTTACTGGGAGGTAGCAGCACTCCAGGGTCACACACTGACACTGAGGTCACACCAGACGGGAACTCAAAATCACTCGCTATAGATAAATAAGAGATTTTGTGAAATGAACATGAACGAAGCTGCTGAGGCGGATTGTGCTACTGGAGGATTTGCTGAATTAGCTACAAAATCATCTCATTGTTGCAATTTAGAAACTACAGGTAGGTGTAGTTGATAACCCTAACCCCTAACCCTAATGAAAGGCCATCATAAATCTTAGAAAGTCTTTAGAACAGCCCTAATGCTTCATGTTTTTACATAAATGTTGGGCCAACTTTTGAATAAACGATGCGAAAATTGGCAAAAGATTAGGCGAATGGCGGTTGTTTTTCGATTAACTACTATTAAGGTATTAATAGGACTTGGTGAAGCGAGATTTAAAGTAGATAGCGACAATTGTCCAGTTTGAAAACCCTTATACCATCGCAGCAGAAGTGGACACAACAAGATAACCGCCAGATGGACCTAAAACTGTTTTGATTTAGCTGCTAATCTGGTCTCTTCAGGGTAGCAAAAGCTTTTGTATACATCACGTTTATTTCCTTAAGCACCATTATGCTTTTTTGGGGTTTTCCCTCTCCTGTAGTGTGTTATATAGGTTTGTGTGCATGTAAATGGTCTGCAAAGGCTCAAATCCCTTCAGAGGGTTGAGCATAATAGGGCCCCTTTAATTTGTTTCTCCTTTACCAAATGTAATTTTGCTAATCATTTTTACATCAACTATTTTAACAAGATTGTTTTTGCGATATTTCTAAAATGTTTTGTCATTTCCACTCAGGTTTCAGAAGAACAGACTGCAATGAGCTGAACTGATGGAATTCCGTGTGTTAATTTGTCCTCGCTCCACACAGATCCCAGTTGTTTTTCTTCTGCTTCAGGTTTTTAAGTCATGACCTATTTGATAAGTCTTTTTTCCATTTCACTTGAAAACCACTTTCCTCCCCAAAGAGCTGTCACCTTCCTTAACACGGCCCACTCCACTCAACCATATCTGTCATTCCAGCAACTCCAAACCCCCCCACCCCCCTGCATCCCCACACTGTCACTTTGTCACCACCAGCACTGCTCAACTGCACTTATCCCCCCCGATTAGTAATTGCTGCTGCAGTGAACTGTTGGGTGCAGCACTTTAGTTTGTCCGTCTGACCTTACTGATCTCTTCTCTGGCTGCACCGCCTCACTGCTGATCTCTCTCTGTTTCATGTCCTATCCATATGAGCAATAGTTTCTAAATCTATTTAACACAACTCCAATTCTGTAGTATTGTTTTGGCCACTCTTTTCTCCCATTCTGTTAGTTTGATTTTCCTTAATGCGTCCAACAGATCGCTCCCAGTTTCCTCTCTTTGTGTTGCAACAGTAAAGTAATCCATTGGATAAAAATGTTGAAGCAGCACATTTTCCCTGCAGTTGATGTTCGTCTCAGTTTGCTGTGTGTTGATCTAATAATAATTTATGCGCCTCCATATGGCAACAACAGTGTGGGGGTGTTGCTTTGTCTGGAGGTGTTTGTGATGGAAAATAAAGCTGTAAAACTGCAACATTTCACAAGCCTTGTAGTCTGATTGGTTAGAATAAACTCCCAGAGAGCATGGCAAATCATGCCTTTTAGCAAATACCGCCAATTTAAGGACTGTAATGACTGTTATTCCACACATTTTATTCATCACTTGTCTGATTTTCATAGAAGTGGCTGCCACTGGGTATCCAAAGAATAGTTGATTATGCTTCAGTTAATTGATATTCATTTGTTTCACTGAGAGTTTGTAAGGCTTTCGGAAAGGAAAGTGCATGCTAACCTTCAGCAGCAGTTTGCAGATCTCGTATTTGCCTTTGGCGGCGGCTTCGTGGAGCGGCGTGAACTTCCACAAGTCGGCCACGTTGACCGAGGCTCCGTGTCTGACCAGCAGCTCGGCCACCTCGTAGTGACCGTACGAACAGGCGTTATGGAGGGGGACCAGGCCTCTGTAGAGAAATGAATAACTTTCATCACTTATCAGGATTTAAAGGTCACCTATTATACTGTTTTTCATCAATATATTATAGGTCTCAGATAAATACAAAACATGTCTCTGAAGTGTTTGGCTCCAAATACCAAACAGATCACCCATTGTAGCATCCCATAATCCCCTCTTTTTCAGCCCTGTTACAAAATGGCTGATGTGAAAAAGTGGATTTTGCATAATAGGTGACCTTTAAATGAGCAATTTACACGTGTATACATGCAAAAACGGCCTGTTAATTCGGCCAAAATTCAATCATAACATGAAGAATCTTACCCTTTGTCCTTGGCATGCACGTCTGCCCCGTGCTGCAGCAGGTACTCCACCACAGACACTCGGTTGTAGCCGGCAGCGAAGTGAAGGGGAGTGGAGTGTCTTCCCTCCAGATCTCTGCAGTTCACATTCTGAGCCGTGCACAACGACTGGAGAGAGACAGAGACGAAGAGGGACGATTAACATGAATATCTGTTTCTTAAAGTGAGAGAGACGATCAACCAAGGAGCCATGAAGACAGAGATCTATGATCCTCCCGTCAGCATAACCACTCACGTAGAACATTATTGCTTCTATTATTCAGCTTTAAAGGACAAAGTAAGATTAGAACTAAAGATAAGATCAGTTCAAGAGCTTCTCATCAAGGACAGTAATATTTTATGTTCAAGTGCAATAACACCGCTTTCTGACTGAAGGTGAATGATGAGTCGTAATAAATAATAAAGCTTCTGGTAGGAAATGGCCTTGAAATATGCAGCAATAGTCTTTCACATTTTCCTATTTTATCAAAAGGTAGGTCAGTGGGTGTCATACACTGTACAGATTGTAAAGCCATTAAGGCACATTAATGATTTGTGATATTAGGCTACACAAATAAAAATTGACTTTGAAAAAAACTCGTTATGGCTGAATTTAGTCCGTTTTTTCAGCTGGGACCAAAGCTCCTGACTTTAGCGAGGTTCACATATATTTCTCCAGAACTAAAGACCCATTAGCCTTTGCTGTGCTTTGCAATTCATGCCAATTAGCAAATGAGCATGCTTACACACTATAATAAGAACATGAACATTGTACTTTCATAGTAATAGTGAGCATGTTGGGAGGATGAGGACAATTTATCAGTCTCTAGTAGGGCTGTGCAATTAATCGTTTTTTAATCGCAATTACGATTTTGGCCTGCCACAATTACGAAAACAACATAATCGGAAAAAACGATTATTTTGCTTATTAGGTTGTGACAGTGCACTGCAAAATATTTGATCTAATTTATTTTATAGTCTAATTTATTTATCATATGTATATATGTTTATTAGCTTGTTGAAGTGCGCTCCAAAATATTTGTTGATCTTTTTTTATTGGTATTTATTATTTTTGATATTATTTATTTAAATGTAAATATAAATGTATCATTTATTTTATTTATTGGTTTTTCAGTTGAATTATACGTTCAGGGTAATCAACAGTTAAACAGATACTGTTCAAATTATTATTTTAATTTGTTTTAAAGTTCAATAAATTGACGTTTTCAAAGTCAATGAATAATCGTATTTAATAATCGTGATATCAATTATTGACCAAAATAATCGTGATTATGATTTTTGCCATAATCGCACAGCCCTAGTCTCTAGACTCAAAAGTGTACATCACCCTTTGTATTATTTCCTAGAAAAACATAAACGACGAACCAAAACCAACATTAAACAAAACAAACGGTGCTTCTGAGAGAGCAAGACACTGTTCCTGTATTTATAATGAAAGGTATGTCCGTGAAATGAAATAGGTTTGAGACAAAAAAAAGGTTTCAGGAAACAACAGCCGCAATATTGAAGTTATTAGGTGAAGTTAATACATGTCTGCTGCCCTGCTGTTCAAAGGAAATAACACTACTTTCCTCTTTGCTGTTATTTCAGACCTAATAACACAGTTCAGTACAAGGAGAGCACACAGTGGGAAATGTGTTTTAAAGTTTCTTTCAGCCACGCTCTCGGAACATAATGTACAGAAAATAATATGAAACCCTGCTGCTGGCAGACATATTCCTCAATCTCTATTATCCCTCACTTCAACTGCCATCAAGCCTGTGTTCATGATAGCCATGGAATAAAAACGTTAAAGACTGTAGCCTGAGCCATGGTAAGAGGAATTGCTGAAAAATGAGGGTATATACAGTTTATATATATATATGTTTTTTCTTTTGTAGTTCTTTACTTTGCTTTTTTATTGTAGTGTACTTCTATGCGTCAAGTAGTTAAGTTTAAGTTAAGTACTTTAGTTTAAGTGCTGTCAAGACAGTTTATGTCTTTGGTAGTTAATTATCTTATTTAGCAGTGATGTAATGTTCATTTTTGTTGTCATTGTTTTGTGTGTGCTTGTAAATGTGGAAATATTATTAAAAGGCAATAAAACATTGAGAGACATTTTAATTCTGCAATAAATAAAAATCATGTCATCAGTTAAGTTTGAACCTGGCTGGTAACAATGTAATTCAAGTTTATGCTAGAGCAACTGAATGTTTGCTACTAGGATAATACACACATTTTATATTCATTATAGAGGGACCCACAATCTGTATTCAGCCTACATGAACATTTCTCTGTCCAAATGATTGTGTTCCCTTTCACAATCCTAATGTACCAATGCACAGAAAGAGGATTCTTTATGTGGCAACACCATCGGTAATAACGAAGCAGAGCTGAATGATTTGTTCAATAGTTCTGTATATTGATCAAATGGAAATCACTGGACAACTGGATATTTTTGCTATATCATTGAGGAACAGGTTACATTCAGGGTTGAGTTATAACCAGTATTCTACACTGGAAATATATTTCCTGTTGTTACTAACACTCTCCAACTTTTCCTTAACATTACATTTTACATTCAATTTTCTCATTTTTGAAATGATGCCGTGCATAAATGAGTTATGATGAAGGCTATGTGTGTCTTCCTTTAGAGGAGGTTAAGCAAAGTGCATATATATAGAACGCCTATTAATGGCTTAGTTGTCTGAGAGAGGGCATTAGTTTCGAATAACATTTTCGGCCAACTAAGAAATAAGAATAATTTTCACTCTATTTTAGCTCCGTTTTTGAGGCGTTTTAGCTTATTCAAAATGTTACTCCTTTTAAAAATATCTCAGAACACAGTAAACGTAGCTTTGTTTTCTATAATGTGGAGTCATTCTAACAAGATTCTTACATTTATAAAACGGTATTTACTGCTTTAAATGCAGTAGAATATGCCCCTGCTTTTCGACCTGTGGTCTAAAAGGTGAACATTTATCCAACAGTCACAGTCTGGACCTCCACTACGTTAGAACAGATGACAGGAATCAGCCGAGAAACGGTGCAAAGTGCTACTCTTCCTCCGTCAATCAGAAGCTCAGCCAGACAGTTAACCCTAAGTCTGTGTGTGTGTGCGAGTGTGTGTACTTCCACTGACAGAAAGCCAGACCAGCGCACATTGTCTGCTCTGCTACGATTCCCTGCCCACCTGCCAGAGCCTCACCCTCCAGACGCTGACAGGCCCTCTTCATCTGGAGAACCCCATCACTGTGTGTCTCGGCGGGGGAAAGACACAACGATTTTCACTCCTCACCAAATACTTCTGTCAAATACTTTGCCGGATCTCACCGGGTCCTGACATTTGGTGGGTGGTTTTATCCGAAGCATATTACGGAGCATGACAAGCGCCCACACTTTTAACACAAGTGGGCCCGCTGGCAATTCAAAGCGGCTAACAGCGGCTATGATTATACTGAGAGCCGTGTTAGGACATTTTATACGAAGGTTGGCCTTTTGAAAAAAACAAAGGCTTTGCAATTTGACCGAGATCAATATGGACAAAAAACACAAAGACATGAACAGGAAACATTTGATTCAAGTAGAACAATATCCACCTGACATTTAACAAAATCACTGCGACCAGACTCCATAAAAGCAACATGAGCAGCCGCAAAGGTGAGGTCATTTTGTTACATTTTGAATTAAAAAGATAAAATGTGTGTCATTAACTCAAAATGTCACTGACAAAATCATGTTTTTAATTTGTTTTCCTTCATGATTTCTGCGGTGTATCACTGCTTCACACAGGAATGAACATTCTTTATAACAGATTTAATGTAATTATTGAAAATAATTGTATATATTTATTATGTTTTTCTTCACTGGACCCATCAAGTGTCTGTATTACTCAGTGGGACTATCAGCTCAGGCATATTTAAGGTTTAAACATTTTATTATTTTAATCATACAGCTGCTCAATTAAAAAAAAAACCTCATAGGCTACTGAGGTCCAGTTCCTTTGTTCATTTTCTAAGTAAGGCGATTGTGTGGAGGGACACTATCTAACACTTTAATACCCCCAAAAAGTAGGGAAAGTGCCAACTGTTGATAATAAAATAAATCCTAGCTCATCTACCTTGACGGTGTCCAGGTCTCCGGCTTTAGCAGCTTCCAGCAGTCTGTAGTCCACATCCGAGTTCCTCACCGGCACGTTTTCTAAAGGGCAGAGCATACAGGAGTCACAGATTATAATGCATTGAGCAAACATAAGCAAAAGCTACAACATAATCATGAAAGTAAATGCATCCACTGCAAATGTTGAAGAGAAATGACATTACACAACCCAGGGATTCACTGCTGCATGTCACTTTGTTGACAGATGCAAGGTAAGCGTCTTGCATCCAAAAATGTCACATTTTTAAGCATTTTCGGTTTAAATTGTTGCTAAATAAACTAATTTCTACAGTCAACTTTGCAACCAGACAACTGTTTAGAGGAAAGAGTGATTCATCAATATTCTGAAGAGTAATTCAATCATTTTCTGCCACCGCATTCATCAGAATGACAACTGACTGACGGCCGTTTGTTTGGAAGTACATTTTCCAATTGATTATTTAATTGATGTGGTTAAGACAAAATAAGGATGATGCAGTCGGTCAATAAATCAGGCAGGCAGAAATGCTGGAGGCTATTCCAAATCTACTCAACTTAAGATAAATAATACAACATCATATTTTCACGTGTGCATTATTCACAACATATCTATTTTTTATTTGAATATGAAGGATGTCATCAGTATTGCTTTATTGCGAAACGCCTAATTTTAGTTTCTCATAAAAGTCTTAAAGTATTTGATAAGGAATATTTAAACACACATTACATTTGGAATTACTGCAGTAATGTAAAGTGTAACTTCCTCTAGCACTGCACAGGTGAGTTTGCTCAGCCTTTCCCCTCATCAAACTGCACCTTCAGTCTCCAGGTATAAATACTGACCTTTCAAAACAATTCCAGTTAATCCCAGTTACTAACAGCTGCATAGCAACCAAACAACACAGCAACCACACACACACACACACACACACACACACACACACACACACACACACACACACACACACACACACACACACACACACACACACACACAACACACACACACACACACACACACACACACACACAACACACACACACACACACACACACACACACACACACACACACACACACACACACACACACACACACACACACACACACACACACACACACACACACACACACACACACACACACACACACACACCCAGCCACACCACACACAAAGGGTGTTGGCGTACCGTTGAGTATTTGCTGCACAGCTTCATTTCCCATCTGAGCAGCAGTGAAGCCCTGCAGCGACAGCAGCGAGGCGTCTGCCCCGTATCCTAGCAACAGCCTGCAGGTCTGAAGGTGGCCCGCCATGGCCGCGCGGTGCAGCGCCGTCTGACCCAGCGTGTCCACGGCGTTCACCTGTAGACACACAACCCTGTGTTAGGATTCTTTAAAGGACTTATATACTTAGCTGAACTGCTTCACCTCTTTAAAGAAAATCACCTTTAGATACTTCAACATTCTCAATGACATGTAATTAAATGTTCTGGTGAACCCATTAACCCTCATCTACAGTGTGCTGCAGGGTCTACTTTTTTCCAGTTGTAATAATATGTTTTAGAATTTCTGGCAGCTTGCAAAAACGTTCTTATGCTAGTAGATTTTTATGCATTTAAGCCGAGTTTTCCATCAACAACATCAGATATTTGAACAGATTTAACATAAATAAATAAAGACATGTGATTTGGTGATGTTAAGTATGCGTAAACAAGAACAAAATGTGACATTCATACAACCAGTCAAATATCATCATGAAAGATGTTCACTATTAGAAGTTTACAAATGATGTTTAGGTGTAACTGATAACTTTGTATAACTGTTGTATAGTTTATTTGAGCATGTCAAAATGTATGGCATTCTTTTACTAAGTTGGGTTAGTTCAATTTATTTGTATTTATATTCTTTATTATATATTTTGTTTAAAAGTTATTCATATATATTGGATAATGGTAACATGTTCATGAATACAAAAATCTCATATTAAGCTAATTAAAATCTTGATAAACCAGTTGAATTCATCATGCTGATGAAAAATCACATACAGATAACTGATTTACAATATGTCCTGCTATGGCCTAAACCACAGGAAAGATTATGAAAGTAATAATTTGATTTACAAGGTATAATGTGAGAGATGTTTACGTATTAGATAAGAAAAACAAGAGAAGACCTGAGACGACGAGTTTGACCCTGTGTTCTTATTCAAATCTATATGCAGTGAGAGCACATTTTGTACACTTACATGCATCAGCATCGATAGCAATCTCACAGTAAGCGCAAGAAAACGCATTTGTTCCAGTAATGAAAATAAGATGAGTCACCACCACTGAAAGAAACTGTGTGTTCCAGCTAAGCTGAATTCTATCCTGTATGAGTGTTGCATATCAAATCATAACGGAGGCTCTGGAAGTAAACACTGCTCTTTGTATGTGAGGGTCTGACGCACAAAACCCGATGTGTAACGCTGATTACTGCAATTATTTCTAGTAAGAGAAAAAAACTAATCATATTGGCATACTTTCTATAAAGCACTGTACATGGGAACGAGAAACAGATACCCCCAATCATCAAAACACACACATAGGAAACATTTGGAACATCAATCCATTTGTGGATTAGCCAATTGATGTAAAAATAGTGTGATTCAACTAAACAATCTGTCTAGTTATGACAAGGATTATGGTGGAAGTCGATGTATGATGAAAGGAGACAAACGTACCTTAGCACCATGTTTCTGTAGCACCTCCATGATGTCATTATGAGCTCGTTCTGCCGCCACATGAAGAGGAGTCATGAAACTACACAGAGGAAAGAATTGGTCAACATTTCTTTATTAATGCAGTATTACATGTACTCAATCTGTACATAAACATGTTCATCTAGTGTCCAACTTAGTGTTTAAAGCATAATATACCACTTACTGCGTGTAATTGACTATATGTTTAATTATTTAAAAAGAAAACAGCACTCACTCTTTATTCTTCTCATTTATGTTGGCGCCTTTCCTCAGCAGCAGCTCTGTCACCTGTTTCCTCTTTGGGTGTGGAGATGCTACCGCGCAATGCTGAAACATAGACACACACATCATCTGAGCATCTCTGCAGCAGTGAAGAAATGTGTGTGTGCAAAAAAGCGTGTGTGTGTGTGTTGATCTCACCAGTGCTGTCTCGTGTGTGTGCGGGTGTTTGAAGTTAATGATCTCCAGAGCCAGGGTCTTCTTAGCCTTCGCCATGTCAGCTTCGCGAGCAGCTTGGAGCAGCGAGTGGCCCTTAAACTCATCTGAACACACACAAAATGTCAACATGTTAGAGACGTAAGAAAATCAGCCTCGGTTTCAGTCGAATTCTGAGTTTCTTTTTGACAGTTTTCCAGCCAAAAGCATCCAAACCCACAGAGAAGCATCTGGTGCTTTGAAAGCTTGACCAAAACCAGATTTCCAATGTTCTCCCCCTTCATTCTTTCACTTGCAATGACTGCATTTTAATACTTCAGAAAGGCTGCTTTAAAGTTTTCACCAGCAAACTAATAACTTTAGATGCAACAGTCTGTGTCCTGGAGTTGGAGTGAAAACAAGTGATTATTCCCCCGAGGGCTACACAATAACAAAACAAACTATTTTGCGTCAGAAGCATTTCAGGCTGCATGAAAAGAAGTGAGTTCAAATCTATCTAGCTATTGAGCGACGGCATTCATGCATTTATAATCAAACGTGTAAACGGAATAGTTGGAAGTCACATCTTCAAGGGAACGTGGTCAAAAGAGAGAGGAGAGGAAACTAGCAGCATAAAGAAAACATATATAATAATAACAAAATAAAGAAATGTCAGTTTGAGGCTTTTATTCACAAGCTGCGAGTTCAGCCAAAGAAATATTTTCTTCTCCGATTCATTTGAAGATTTTTTAAATGCCTGAAGAAGAGAAAGTCTTCAGTTTAAAGTCAGAAAAGGATTTTAGGACATACTTGTGTGTGCTCTACAAACGGCAAAGCATTTTCAATTACACAAGGTATTCAACTGATTTCTTTCCTCCTTTGTAGCTTCTTTCACGTCAGTGTGAAAGACGGCTTTTAGTTTAAAATGCTCAACATATGAAATATATGATATCATCTCATGTTTTACTCACTGTTGTTACATTCATTCACAGATAAGTCAAAAAGCAGCTGCTGATCAAACTTACATAATGTCTATATTTGTATTGTCTTGATAATCACATTTCATTAGCCTATTAAATCTACAACCTTTAAAACTGTAACAATTTGGCCAATGTGCTTATTCTCTGTCATGCTGAGAGAAACAAAGGGGTTGGCAAACTGGAAACAAGAGAAAGACGACCCAAACGTTTAAATAAAACACCCACCAGAGCCTCAAAGGTGGACAAACCCAACAGAAATGTCCTTAAATGTTACACTTTTCCTCTAAAATAGTACAACTGGCTACTTCCTTTTTCAAAGCCAGTTACCCTGATCAACTTTCACGTGTGTCTCAATCATCTGGGCTAACTTATCAATGGAATTTCTTCTATATTGCTTTTCTACACCATTCTGTATTCCAGACAACAGGAGACTTAATGTCAGGTTATCAAAGGTTCAATAAAGCACATCCAAAATATTATTTCACAAACCCTACTCAGCAGATGACAAGTTGTTACAGGAAAAGACCTTTGGTATAAAACCTTTACAAGCTTTAAAGTGCATGCCCAAATATGGAAAAAACATTACATTTTGAAGAAATACTAAATAGAAAGGTTGGATTCAATCTCAAATGTCTTCATTTCTAGATTTGGTGTTTTGTTTTTGCAGCAAATGTCCAACTGTTTCCATAATCACATCCTCTTACAGCCAACAGGTGCAGTTGTCCTGCAGTTGTACATAAACTCGAGACGACTTGTGATTCATGTAGCATTGATTTTATCTTTGATCCGTTTCATTACAAAGAAAGCGCCACAAGTGGGAGAGCTGAATCCCTAATTAACTTTCAAAGAGTTGCAGAGAGCGTTCTGGCAGAGACAAAGACTTATCTTGTCTGCTGTGACTCTGCAGGAGCAAAGCAAATGAATTTAATTATTGCTCAATTTCTGTTTAATTAAATATCATACATTTTGAAAAATGCTCCATTAAGAAAACAGAGGCATGGGGATGTTGCTGTAGATATACAGCTTGCGTACGTTTTGCTGTAAAATAGATCCCTGACAGGTTAAACTGTGGAAGTGAACCATGCACCAAATAAAAACCAGTGATCCAATTCAAAATGAGACCTTTTCTCAGTTTGTAATGAGAGTTTTGAAGCCACGACAAAGGTCAGGGTGTAGCCTGTAACAGACTATGGGAGCATGTTGTTAGCCTAGCTGATAGCAGGAGATGTTTGTTGTTTTGTTACTTAGATAGATAGACTTTCTAGATAGCTACTTCTTTTATCCCAAATTGGGAAATGATGTATTGCGGCTCCTACTCCTAGGGAGTCCGCAAGTTTCTAATTAATTTTTGTCAACACTCTTCTTCTGTGGTTTTTCATCCAGTACACAGCACTAGCATAGCTATACAACGTATTGGTGAGTACAATATTTTTGAAATAAATACTCTCCCTAGTTCAAAGTCCAATTTCAAAGTAAGCAGGGACTGAACAACATAGATTCATTGTCACATTGTTTGTTTTTAAAGATTACAAACAGATGTAAAACATGGGTTGCGGTCGAATAGTCTGTTTTGCTTAGGAACCTTCCTAACGGAGTGAAATGACCCGGAAGTACCTCAGTGGCAGCCATTATAAGTGCCGTTCGAATTCTCTAGATGATAGGAAAGGAGGTTTCAAACTTCCTTTATAACCTCCTTTAGCTTAGGAACTACTGGACCTTCCTTTACGAAAGGAGAGGAGAAAATGCTGCCCCACAATGCCTTGCGGCCGCAGCATTTGCCGTCACACAACAGTCGGCCGTTCACGGAAACAACCGATTATGACCGAGAAATGATATCATGAAAGTTACGGTGCTTATTAAGCATTTTAAAACGTATGTGGTAAGTTGCCAAAGTGCTTTGTTTTGAACGTTCATCAGTATTATAATCAAAAAGAGAAATATGAACGTTAGTTTTTACTGAAATGATCAAATAAAGTCAACATTTCACAGTCTTTACTGAGCTGTGTGGGGTTTGTTCAACTTTTAAAAGATGTTTGAATGGTGATATACACAGTGATAGATGTTAAGGACTAACGTTTATAATAAATACATTTGTATTTATTTTAAGATCTTTTCATACAATAATACGTATTGGGATCATTTGTATTCATGTGGACCGGAGGGAGAGGGTGACGAGCATAAGTTTCACCTTCCTTTTTTATTTCAATTCCAACTTTGGTCATGAAGAATATGTTTCTCTGTTGTCCACGTTCATAAAGCATAAAACAACAGCATCAGAGCACGGTGCAGAGTCTCTAGATGAGTTTACAGTAGTCCCTCGTTCTTATTAAACATCCATGTTGTAGTCCGCTGTATAGAAAACTGTAGTTTCCATAGTTTCCCCACAGCAGCAGACGCACATTTATGACGTCCGCTGGCGCATCATAAACACGTCGGATAGTGAAAGTGCAGTCGGATTCTCTAAAGTACCGCAGTCTCTTCTCCTAAATCCTTTTGAATTCTCCTATCCACTATTCCTTGACCCCGTGACGTTTCACACAGAGGTCAAGGAATAGACGATAGGAGTTGATTTTTGGACTATTCGACCGCAACCCTGATGTTTTTTTCTACACTCTTCTTCTGTGGTTTTTCATCTAGTACACAGCATGTAAACCAGTCAAGACTCTATTTTGTCCTGCTCAGCGTTCCAAGCATGTGAAACTGTTCATGTCAGATGTTATCATCTCTCTCCCTTTCAACCCATCTTTCCTTGTTTTCAGCTCAACAGTCCTGTTACCAGAACATTCACATTTTCATCCGGCTGAATGCTCGAACACATTGCTCCCAACATGTCTGGTGTAAAAACAGTCTCTCCTAAAAACAACCTATTCATTAATTCAGCACAGTGACACATTTAGCTGCCTGTACGCCGCAGCTGCAGTTTATGTAAATTAAGCCCAACACACTCACATGTAAGTCTTTCCTTCAGCTCGGGAGTGGGCGCCATGTCCACGGAGCTCTTGCTGTGGCAGTTGAGCAGGGTCGGGTCGGCCCCGTGGCTCAGCAGCAGAGAGCACACCTCCACTCGGTTTTTAGACGCCGCTTCATGGAGAGGGGTAAACTGCCAAAGATCCATGGCGTTCACACACGCACCGTGCTGAAAGATAAGAAAAAGTGTATGAGTAAATGAGAGGGAAGCAACATGGAGGACAAAGAGCAAAGTTGACATTGTTAACAACCATTTTCAATCCTTACAAACACTGTGGAAAACTGTGGAAAACTGTTTAGCTAGTACATATTTGTATTGTTTTAAATACAATGACAAAAAAGTGGAAGTTCATTCTCTGGGATGCAATTTCCATTTCTTACACGAAAAACATTTTGTTTACTTTATATTATAAAGGGTATGTTTAAGCAGTCTCTGAGATAGCATGTGTGAGTGTACCTTTAGCAGCAGTTCAGTAACTTCATAGTGTCCGTAGGAGCAGGCGTTATGCAGAGGCACCAGACCCCTGGAGGGGCAAAAGATAAACATTATTAACAGTAAATATACATTTACATTTTCAAAAACAATATAAACACTCTCATATGTAACCCTTTATTCCATTGTATCTTTGTTCAGCTTAATAAAAAGAAAATAAGCATCTACAGCCATGCTGACAAATCTGAGAGGCTATATGGTGCTTTCAAAGCGGAACACTACAACAGCATTCAGACATGGTGAAAATTAGAATGCTAAAATACTGATGTTAAGTTAAGGTGTAATGTTTTAATCGGCTAGCATCTTAGCTTAGCGTGACAGCCTGCTAACAACATCTGCTTATTAGTCCTGTATAGAGCCTCTTCGCTAGCATGGCTAAAATAATTAAATAGTTTCAGCAAATTAATTCTGTAGCATGGAATTCTGATTTAGATTTATCTTAAAATGTAGGATGTTCTTTGTCTGCCTCAATCTTCTTAAGTTTAATTTCTATTTTAAAATAACATCAATTAATGCTAACAGCTAGTATCAGTCTAGCATCTACAGTACACTCGCCATTTCAAACTTAAGCATGTTTTAGTAAGTGCACATCCTAGTTTTATCACAAATGTATGATAGATAACTCAATATTTAATGACAAATTAAGAAATTCACTTCCATATCCAGTTGGAAAATGTTAAGAGACACAATGAAAGCCCTGCGTGTGGTTTGTTGTCCAATCACATAGTTGCTACCACAACTACCACTAAAGGATTATGCAGTGTTTCAAAAGGTCAAAATAAATGTCTACCTTAAAACTCTCTTTTTAGTGCACTTGAATTTGTTTTATACGTACCCCTTGTCCTTGGCGTGAACATCTGCTCCGTGCTGTAGTAACAGCTGAACTATCCTCACCCTGTTGTATCCTGCTGCCAGGTGGAGTGGAGTGGACTGGAGAGGTAAAGAAGGAGAAAGGGACGGACAAAAAGGGCAAGAAGAGAGGAAAAGGGGAAGAAACAGACACAGTGGGAGAGGAAAAAGAAGGATATATTTAGTAAATGTCCAATATGACAGCATATAATGATTTCATAACATAGAGTTTGCAATGAAGGATGTACACATTCTGTTTCCCTATGACCAACCAGTTGTACGACAAGACTTTTCACAAAGAAATGGGCTGTTCCACCACTGAATAAATCAAGAGTTATAAAGCACGACTATATTTCCCCCATAAAAAGGATGAAAGCTGCATTTCTGAATGCTCTCAGATGTGACTGAGATGAGATGGCTCCATGCTGAGCTTCCTCTCTCAGCAAAGGCCATTCTTCTTCAAAGCACGAGTGACACCCACACTGGAGTAGAAATGTTACGCCAGCTAGAATGTTCCCATTATTCAGTCAAACTGAACTCGGTACAAGAAAAACTAATGGGAAATCTAGCTCTATGACATGGTTTGAAAGCTTTTCACAACACAACAAGAGGTACTACAGCCGATATCACATTTTGAATAGAACAGGGAATACATATTCTACATGCAGTACAGCAAGCAGATCAAAGAGTTCTTAGATAGCACCGAGCTAACTACAAGTGTCCAGTTCGCAAATGCCATTGCCATTATCCAGACATTTTTCTCCCAATGGTCCAAGAAAACCAGGACAGTAAGATCCTCTCCAAACTTGGTGGAAATATTGCAATCGGAAAATATCGTAACAAATGTCATGATTGACTGAGGTAGAAAAGTTGGTAAAATTATAAAAATGGAAACCAATGCAATCACTTTTTTCATGTTTAATTGAACTGTTTGAGTTTTGATCGGAAGATTTGAATAATGTAACTCTCTTTCTTTCTATTCTTGGGCAATGGTTCAATGGCACCTGACCGGAGACTCCACTAACTGTATTGACTGATTTTTATATGGATTCAGATAAACCAACAACTAGTGTTCTCATAATGGCAGCGGATGGAAAAGCAGATTAGTTTGCATTTTCTTTTGCCAATATTCTGGAAACTTGGTTGGATTAGTCCAAAACCTTTTACAAAACATTGGTCCCATCTCTTTCCAACAAGCAAAATCAAAACCAAAATGTTTGAATGAGCATAAAGGAATATTTAAGAATACAAATAATAAGCATTTAGATCGCCAAAAACCCAATATGGAACATAATCAACAAAACAAAAATGGCCCAGAAATCACACGATGATGGCAGCATTCTTAAATGCTACAGTACCGTAATCAGATCTGGGATTCAAACACCGCCCCTACATGTAGATATCTTTCCGTTTGAAATCCCATAATGAGGTCAGTCGTAGGTCACACACAGAGAGAGATTTCTCTTTTAAAAGTCACACTACAACATAATTTCATCAGCCATGATGCAAAACCTTGGCAACATCAACAAATATATATATATGTTTACAAAGTACTGGTTTTCAAAGTGGAACCTTTTTCTTGACAAAATGATTAGGTTTTCACTGCCGGACGGCTATTTTGTAAATTATGCAGAATGGTCTCAAAGGATTTCAGAGATACTGGAACTCTTATCAAAAGCAGGAACATGTTTAACTTTGGTCGGAAAATAACAATTAGGGCTATTACAACTTGTTTTTATTCTTTTTATCTGACAAAAAGGAAGGTGTAGATCCCATCTCCTGCTTTGATGTCAGAAGAGATCTTGAAAAACAGATCATCTTTAGTGTTGTGAGAGTTCAGCAGAGAAGCAGCAGCAGTGAGGCAGAGCTGGGCGGACAGATGGTGTACTCGTATTTACAGGATGTGACAGCAGCATTTGGAAGGAGCAGGACATGGGACGTGGTTAGTCATCATCCTCATCTTTAATGCAGTGTTGTCTGTGTGTCTGTGTACTTGTGACTGCAAATGTTGGATATAAATAAACAGACAAAAAAAAAAACACCAATATTTAAAACAGCAATCAGGTCCCTTTCCAATCATAAAACCACTCAAAATCCAAGCAGTGACTCATCAGTATGTACCGTTGCATCACCATGATGTTGTTGCCAGGGTCTGACTGGGTATAAGCTCCGCCTCCTCAATCTGTCAACCCTGTGAGATTGAGGGTATGAGAGAGAGGGTCTATTGGATTATCCATACAGAAGCCTATTTGTATTCAAGTCGTAAAAAAGCTCCTGCTGAAACTTTTATTATGAGCCTCTGACCTCAGCAGCCACAAGCCAATAATAATCAAAAAAGCATCAGCCATTTGTCATCTATCTGAGCTATAATACATCCAACATCTCTCCACTGCAGCCTGCTCCTTTTTCTAGTGCGGTATTTTTGGAAAGGTCGCACAGTGACCCAACGGCTTTGTGTATTTTTATGAATGCTCTTTAAAGAAAGTGCAGCGGCAAAACAGTGAGTGGAAATGAGCTTCTTGAAATATTCTTGAGTTAACATTGGCATATTATTGATGCTGGTGTCAAGGCTGTAAGTGTAATAAGGGTCGGATTAGGTGGTTTATAACAGGTCATAGTTCATGACTGTGACATTTAAATTGAAGCAGGATATGTATTTATGATACAGAGAGATGTGACCATGTGACCATTTACTCCAAAAATGTGTTGAACACTGGCGGAGTAACTTCATGTTTTAGATATGATATTATAGATATTACACATGGTCAGAAAAAGGGCTTTATGCTATTTAAAAGCATTTGTATTGTGATCCATACAGCTGTCTGCAGCAGGTGCATGCAGCGTTTAGATACTGGTTTAATTCCTCAGGATAAATGGTACCGCAGTGGTGGTTGCAGACACACCTGGTGGAGAACTGCACTCAGCCAAAAGCAATTTTCAAGTTGGATGTAGTTGGTTTTTTGCTCCAGTGACCTTCAACTGTTGGTGTTTTGATCCATAAACTGCTTTGATACTTGATGAAATTTGTTGCCCCAAAGTGAAAAACCTAGTAGGCGATATTTCAGAGAGAAGCACTCCGCAATTACAATGGCAGACAGAGAAAGCAGAAAAACAATAGCAATAAAAAAACCTATCCGGCTAGTTTTAATCACCTAAAAGCCTTTCTGAGGAGGAGGGGGAAGGAAGGAAATATGGGAAGAAAATGAAGGAGAGATGTGGAGGGCATGTTAAAGCCAAGATGGGAAATACTAATCTTTTTACTGGCAGCTTTAGGTAGCATTTAAAAAAATTCATTTATCCTTTCCCCTTTCATAGAAACACCATCCATCTGATAGGTAGCTGGAAAGTCTCCTCACATCAAAACATTTTTCAGATTTAGCTTATTTGGCCATCGAACAGCAAACACTATTTGTATCAAAAAGGAATTAATCAAACATTTAACAAAACATATTTTAAATAAAAATGTGATGGGCTGCTTTGTTAGTTCCCTCTGTGATGTTTTCATTTTTATCTCACCCCTCTCAGATCGTCCTTTCTCTCTGCCTTCCTAGTCTCTTTACAAGCCTGTCAAGCTGTTCCCATGACAACAGTGACTGGTAGCTGTCAGCAGTTGCCATAGCGATGAGACATGATCTATCTCACAGTGTGAACGACCATATTTGGGCCATTTTGTTTAGTGTCCTTTTTTACATGTGTGTGTGTGTGGGAAATATGCTGATATTCTTTAACTTCAAACAGTTCAAACTGTCTCCTCTAACCCAATACATTCACGAGTGTGATCACAGCAGTAAAATATTCAAATTCAAGATTCCTTTAATCTTTTTCCTTATGAATTGGTCACACACCGCTCCACATGTATAAGGGAAATCAATTCAAGAAAATGCTTTAAACCGAGGAAGAACGATGAAGAAACATGGTAAAATAAAGGGCTGTGTGCACGGAGTATATAAATGTACCATCTGCAGCATAGGTTGGAGCATGAATCAGCAAATTAAACTGCCTACAGTATACCATATTGGACACGGTTTGAAAAAAAATGAAAAAAGGCTCGTGGGGTGATAAATATCTTGTCGGTGGAGTGCGGAGATTGTCTACAATTGATGAGCAGGGTGACAGAAATATGGGATGAAGCTGTCTTGGCTCCATGATTCAAACTCACATGCAAAAAAAACAACACCTAATGCGTCAAAACTAAACTAAAACAATCCGCTGCAGATGCCTACATTTCATAATTCATCCGACTGATATCCTGAGATTTAATACCTGGATAAATGTATTGGGTCATTCTATAATCCAATGCTCATATGTCAAAAATATACATTTATCCATCACTTTGGTTGTATGGATTCATTAAATTAAAATCCTCATTATGCAATGACCGGGAAGATTAAAACAGGGGTCAGAATAAGTTGATAGGGGTTGGTTAACAATACATCTCTTAATTTAAAACATAGTGGAACATCCCTTTAGCCTGCACTCGGGTCTTTGATCTGCCTTAGTACTCCGGTCATGGCTGCACATCAGCAGGTGGACACGCCGACAAGATGAGTAGTGTCAGATGACTGGATCAATAAACATATTAGCAGATCTGTGTGCCACTCCTCCGGCTGACACATGCACACACACGCTCTCATACACACATTATCGGGAGTGACAGCTCAGCCCAGCCAACGGCTTGGAAGATAAATAACCTCCAGCTAGTCTGATGCTCCCCATGCACACTCACACACTATCTCTGCCATCACCGGTCTATCTGCTCAGCCTCTCAGCTATTAACTCTGACATTTCCCACAAGCAGAAGGCTACACAGAAAGTTTGAAGCCGAGCACAAATCTGAAAGTAACTTCAGGAATAACACAAAGAAGCAAACAGACAAACAGCCCTGTTATGTTTTTAATGGCTGTCATTCAGATCAAAACTTAAAGAGGCTCTTATCTCCTTTTCTGGGTATTCCCTTTCCTGTAGTTTGTTATATAGGTTTTTGTGCAAGTCAATGGATTACAAAGGCTTAAATCCTAAAGTTGTCTCCAGAGGGAGTTTTCCTCCCACACACTCCCCCCCCCCTCTGCCTGAAACATATT